TTGTGATTATTATTGTATTAACTCTAATTTAAACTGGCGCGGGTGGATATAGGCTTGCATATATATATATATATATATATTTTTTTATAATATAAGCGCGTATATATTTGTATATATTATTATTTTATATTTTATTATAATATAACACACGGTTTTTCCTAATATGCTAGATGATAGTTTCCATTCTATCTCTTCTACGTCTTCTTCAAATAATAGTTTTCATAGTATTCCAATTCCCTTACATGAAACATTACATGCTGAGTTCTCTGATGTACCTAAAAATTTTAACATAGTTCATATCAATGCTCAAAGTATTCCGGCTCATTTCTCGGATATGTTGGCAACATTTGACGTTAGTAACATTCATGTTATTCTTGTTTCCGAGTCTTGGCTGAAACCCTGTTTGCCTTCCATGAGCTATTCTCTACCAGGTTTTGTGCTATTGCGTAATGACCGTATAGGTAAGGGTGGTGGTGGTGTTGCAATCTACCTTCGTTCCCAAATCCCTTACAAAGTAGTATTCTCTTCCCATAGTTCGAATCCTTCCCTCGAAGCCGAGCACTTATTTGCTGAAGTTACTCTCTCCCATACGAAAATCCTTATTGGGGTTTTTTATAGTCCCTCTTCCTCTATCAACTATTTCTCTTCATTAGAAAACCTGCTTGAAGATTTGATCCCTTCTTACGAACATACTATTATTATGGGTGACTTCAATACCTGTATGCTGAATAACGACCATCGCAGCAATTCACTTAGAACTGTAGCTAATGCTTGCGACATGTACATTTTGCCACTACAAGCTACTCATTTCTTTCCCCATTCCAGTCCTTCTCTCCTTGACCTAATTTTGGTATCACGTCCTGATTTTGTTGAGAAACACGGCCAATGCTCTGCAGATGCCTTCTCTTATCACGACCTTATCTTCCTCTCCTATAAAATCCGTCCTCCTAAGCGCAAGCACAAAGTTCTTTTGCAACGTAATTTTGGTGCCATCGACCATGAATCCTTGCGTAGAGATGCTTTGGTTTCTAATTGGGCGTCTATCGATGAAGCGACTTCAGTCAATGAGCAAGTTACATTATTCAACTCAATTATTACTGAATTGTATGACCATCATGCTCCTATACGACCAGTTCGAGTCAAACACTTACCTGCGCCATGGCTGACAGATGAAATAAAAACTTTGCAAGCCAAAAAAAATAGAGCAAAGGCAAAATTTAAATCAAATCCCGATGTATTCCGTGATGAGTATATTAGAGCTAGGAATCACTGCAATAAGGTGTGTAGAGAGGCACAACGTCGCCACATTCACAAATGTATAGAAAATTGTAATTCCTCCAAAGTCTGGAAATTCTTGAAGTCTCTTGGGGTTGGTAAAAATAATTACACTAATTCCTTTGATTTAGATACCAATAACCTTAATAGGCATTTCTCTACTTCAGTTGCAATTGATAGCAATACTAAAAAGAACACTCTAAACTATCTTTCTACCATACCAACCCCAGATTATTCCTCATTTTCTTTCAGTTTAGTTACGAATTGTGATGTTGAGAAGAGCTTACTTTCAATCTCTTCCGATGCCGTTGGTACGGATAATATTAGTCGTGCTATGATCTTTCCCATTCTCGATATTGTCCTTCCTATTATCACCAAAATTTTCAATGTTTCCTTATCCTTAGGTGTGTTTCCTTCCGTCTGGAAAGATGCTCATATTATTCCACTTCCCAAAAAGTCTAACCCGAGCTCCTTTTCAGATTATCGTCCAATATCCATTCTCCCTTTCCTCTCTAAAGCTATGGAGCGTCTTGTCCAAATTCAATTAAGTACCTTCCTTTCTAAAAATGGTCTCGTAAACTCTCTTCAATCCGGTTTCCGTCCTGGTCATAGTACGACTACTGCCCTTGTAAAAATTACAGACGATATTCGTTACGGCATGGAGAACTCCCAGCTTACTGTCCTTACATTACTAGATCTAAGTAATGCTTTCAACACAGTTGACTTCGATATTCTGCTGGGACTGATGCGTTCTCTCAACATATCTCCAATCGTAACTAAATGGTTTCAAACATACCTGTATGGGCGCCGGCAACGCATTCGAATAGACAATCATTTGTCCCAGTGGTGCCATACCTCAGCCGGCGTCCCTCAGGGTGGCGTCTTATCTCCATTACTTTTCTCGCTATTTATTAACTCCATTACTCTCGAACTTCATTCCTCATACCACCTTTACGCAGATGATCTCCAACTATATACACAAGCTCCATTACATAACATCACCTCTGCCATCACTAAAATCAACGATGATTTAGCAACCATTTCAAACTGGTGCAAATCGTACGGATTAATCGTGAATCCTTTAAAAACGCAAGCTATTATAATTGGCAGCCCCTTTTATATCGCCAGAATAAATAGGAACCTTCTTCCGCGCATTGTCTTCAATGGTGAACTCATAGCCTACAGTGACAGTGTGAAAAACCTAGGAATTTACTTTGATCAGACACTATCATGGTCGACTCAAATTATGGAACTTAGTAAAAAGGTTTTTAGTGTCGCTGGTTCATTAAAACGGTTACGTAATTTCTTGCCTTTCGACACCAAGGTTACGCTTGCAAACACCCTATTACTTCCTATTCTGGATTATGCAGATACTTGCTATCTAAACCTCACCGAAGCCCAGTTGAACAAACTTGAGCGTCTTCAAAACGTCTGCATTAGATTCATATTTGGTTTACGTAAATACGACCGCATTTCACAATTCCGTACTCAGCTCAAGTGGCTCCCAGTTCGTTCTCGCCGAGATTGGCATACTCTCTCTTTACTCTATTCTATCCTTTTTAACCCTATTACTCCATTATACCTTAAAGAATCTTTCACATTTCTCGGTGAGGTGCAGAATAGTGGTCTGCGAAGTGCAGATAACCTCCTGTTAAAAACTCCCACCCATACCTCTAGTTACTATTCCAAATCCTTCTCTGTACAGGCTGTGCGCCTTTGGAACTCGCTACCGCCCTCCATACGTAATGCTCAATCCTCAGCCATCTTTAAGAACTTAGTTAAATCTCACTTTCTCTCCCCGTAAATACTCTTATGTTCACTTCTTTTCCACTTCTATTGCTTCTTACATTTAGTATAGTGTGTTATTTGTGTAATATTTATATGTATGTATAATTTTTATGTGTATGTATGTATTTATTAATTTTAATTTATTTAAGTAAGTTTATATATATATATTATATTTTGTTACCTTATTTCCACTCCACGTGTCGCCTACTTTATTTTTATTTATACTCTCTTTCATAAGGTTGTCTGGAAGAGATTGCGTTAGCGATAAGACCGCCTTCTGTACCTTCTTCTTTCTTTAATGTATTGTTATATATTATTTTCTTTTTATGTATCTACTTTTAATATTGGTGCAATAAAGAATTATAAATAAAATAAATAAATAAAAATAAAATACATGTACACCCGTGCAAAGCCGGTGCGAGTAGCTAGTAGACTATAAGTGTGCGAAAGTTCTTACAACTCCGTTAGCACAATTTTCGTAAAAAGGGGTACAAAATTTTACTACATGTTTTAATATACTGATAAACCTGGGCATTTAGTCCCAAAATATTTTCATCAAGCGAGAAATCGAACCTGCGACCATCGGAATTAAGGCGATGTGCTAAACCTCTAGATTCCCGATGCCGTATTATATAAAATTGGATTCATGTAAATTATTGATTGTGATTGTAAAATATTAAGGAAATAAATAAGGCTTTAATAATAATGATGTGACTAATAATTATAACTCGTGAGCAACATGACCGGTGTTGACGAGTTTTCTGAAATCGATAGTGAATCGATCGTTAACTGTGTCACTCCATTTCAAGTTTTCATTACGCAACCGAAACTTATCGGTGTGTAATTAGTATTAAATTATTCTAATGAGGTCCGAATTATTTTAATGACGCGTAATTTTCGTATTACGTAAAAAAAATCGAGTCACAATAAATTTGTGGTGCGATTGAGTCCAGATTGCTCGAATGACGCCATTTTGATACAGTCATAAACCTATATGTATACGATCAAACCATAGACACAATATATTTGTTCTATTAATTCCCCATCCATGAGACCAATCACAGGACTGCTCACAGATGGGGGTTTGGGCCCATCTGTGGAGCATCCAATATTTTTTTTATTGAGTTTAGATAATCATTGGATGCTCCACAGCTGGGACTACAATTTCCGAGTCCAATAATTGGCTCCTTCGCAAATGAGAAATTGAACTGGTATTAATTAATAATCTAGTACATCCACATAGAGGTAACTTAACAAAAACTAAGAACACCTACTATACTAACTAAACAACGACTTTCTTTTTAACCTGCATAATAATTAAATAACAAAATACGCAGACTAATAAAATCATATGTGCTTGTACACACAAATGTAAGTATTAGGAGGGAATCAAACCCACGACCACGACCGATGCTGTATAAATTGAAACCCATTATACGTAAGGCCTTCTGTAAAATATCAACATTCCTTGCAATTTCTATATACCATGAACTTATTTGGTTAATGTTTAAACCACACAAAAATATTTGAATGCAAATCTTGCGCATAATCAGAGAAATCCGCAAAACTAATCGAGTGAAAACCTCCAACGGAATACAATTATGTACTGATTAAATTATAAATCAGTCGGTTACTTAACTGCCCTCATGGTGCCGCCAATAGATATGTAGGTTCAAACTTTCCAAGACACGAAATAAAATAGTTACGTATCTTAAAGATGCGGAATTATCATAATAATTATAACTAATTAGTATTATTTGCAACTAAATGTGGCCTTTTCTTTAATTACAAAAATATTTAATTAACTCTAAAGTATACCTCTTTTATTTATACATATTTATGTTTTCAGTAATTAAAACTCATTATTTATTTCTTTGCGTCTAAATATAACTGTAGAAAAAAATAAATGCATACACCACAGATTAAATCTAACTTACCATTTTCAAAAAATTCAAAATCGTGTCAGATAATCTCCACCGAAAATTCCCCATGCCTTGGAAATGTCAATACATGAAAGTTACAAAGAATCCTTGGAACGTCTTGTATTAGTTGTACACAACTGTTTATATTCACATTATTCACTGCACCATCGGCAAACTCTATACAATTCACTTTATGTAAATAAATTTATTCAGGCACTGGCCGCCAACACACGCATAAAAAAATAAAATCAAAAGTTTTGCCGCGTTCGAAGTTTAAAAATGTTTCGGCGGGAAACGTCGACTCGCGCGAACACCGCGCCACAGACTGTAAGATGGCGGTCTTTTTTTGACGGTTCACACGAGTCAATTCACTTTCTACGACCTTACGCTGTATGCGACTTGTAATTATGCATAAAGATTTACGTAACCCATCGATGTAACCTATGTTAGTATTGATTTCCGCGATTATTTTTATTTTAGGAATTTTCTATTTCAGGGAAATTAATCAGGAATAAGTAGACCCTAAAAATTAGTTACTGAGGTTGAAAGAAGATTGCAAGTTGTTTACAAATCCTAATGAATATCCTAATCAATATAAAAATAATAAAAATTTGTTTCAGAAATATATGAGAAAGATTAGAATGGAATCCCTAAAAAAGTATATGGAGAAAATTAATCTAATCAATCAAGATATGCAGTAAATATACGTCATCGTAATTCAATTGTACCTATTTGTCTATTACAAAAATTAGGAAATATCATTATTATAGCACAACATTAATACATAATAATAATGATATTGAAATTACTGAAGTCGTCCGAAAATCATAAGTATAGGTATGTAATATTATATTATCTGTGGTATAGGTATCACGGGTTTCAAATGATAAAGTAAACTCCGCAGTGCTGTTTATGTATATAGGCGACAGTTGCGTACAACCATCAGACGGACAATCAAATTACATAAAAAAAACTGTCCTACATGACAAGATGAAGATCCGACTAAGAATGGCCCAAGAATAGACCCTTGACATACCTACTGTCATTTGATCAAGATACATGTTAAATATTACTTTTGTGTTTACATAAAAAATATATTTCCATCAGTAGTCTAGTAGCCATAATACAAGCTCTGCTTAGCTTGGGACTAGGCAGCGCTGTATGAATTGTCGAATGTCTGTAACGTGCGAGGAATGGAACTCGCGACCATAGGAAATGAAGTATGCTCAACAGCTAGACCACCGAGGCTGTTGTTACTAATAAATCGCCAGACAATAATAATAAACATATAACGGTTTTAGAATAATTTCTTCACATTTTATGTCGAATGAAGCAATACAATAAGGCATTGTAACTAAACATGTTGTCCTTTAATATATTGTTTATGCCTTTTTATTTACTGTGTGTTACAAATAAAGTATATTCTATCTATCTATCTATCAACATAACGTTCCTAAACAGATTACGAACAGTCTGTTTTAAGGAACTAATACTAACAAAACTATACTCGTACTTATGACTGACAAAGTTAGGAGTGCTCAGTAGAGTGAGACGGTACTTCACGCCGGCGCATCGTTTGCAATTATAAATATTAGCTACTTCCATTGGACCGTATTCTGAACCGAGCGGTTAGAATCATCAATAATTAACTTCTTTGTAACAGACTCGATCCATGGGCATTACGAAAGAGACATTGTATCTCTATGCATTTCCACCGCATATATCTTGGATTGTGTTCTACAGAATTATTCGTATTCCAACCACCGTCTTATTATTACCCGGTAGAAATTAAAAAACTGTCTTGATCACCTGAATGAATGGCCACACAATAGGCAAGATAAGGCCACACCTAACCATATAAGAATGCCAGCCAGGACCAGCTCAAAGTGACCAATTCACTCCCACTCCAAAACTTCTAAAATAGTTAAGATTGTGGTATGAACTTTTATAAATTTTTACAACTTTCGTAACCATCTTAGAAATTTTGGACAGGTAAGAAATAATTGATGAAAAAAGCCTCTGGCTCGCGGACTATACTGTGGAATAATCTAAACTAATACAATAATCAAAACCATCAAGAAGAGAGCTTATTTCTTATAAAAGCCGGTAAATCATCTAACATTCTTGAGCAGTAAACACACTCACTTGATCCCTATGCTGTAAAAAAACAATTCATATTATTTCTTTACTACGATATTAACATAATTTAGGATTGTCCGAACAGAAAAGAGGTAGAGGACGGTGAACAAGCTACGAGATTGCTGGGCGACATGAGTAACCTTAAGCGATGGAAAAATTGTCCAACAACCCAGAACAGATTGGAGACAAACAAAACATTTAGGAGAGCCGAGACCATATAAAGTGGGACAAAGAAGAAAATTCAAAATTAAAATATCTTCATTCATATAGGTCTATTACAGATTCTCTTATGATATGTCAAATCTACCGTTAGTTCGGAATGATTTCGAGATGAGAAGAACTCGTCAGTTCGGAATGAGTTCGAGATGAGAACTGAAGAGAAACTCAACACGTATTCTTTTAAAATAAATGTTGTATATGTTTACAATAATACAGATACATTTTTAAATTAAAATTCGAATTGACAAAAGGAATATCAACATAGTAATTATTTTTAAAATACCATTTCGCCGCAACACGCCAGTAGGCGTGGCATACGCTCGGTAGCTATCAGAACAGCATTCTACTTGTCGTTTTTTGTCTAGCCAGCCGGCCAGTCCACTCACATGATCTAGAACATGTTGAAGGCTAAAATTCACTTGTAGAAGGGAATGTAGGCATAAATTACATGCACGCAACTGTACGGTGCATTAATATTACTCGTTGCTAACTTTGTTTTATTTCCTTTGTCTCTTACTCTCTTCTTCTGTATAGTCTTTTTTCATTTCATTTGGGATCGGCTCTCCTAATCCTTCTTCACCAAACACATCTGTCCTGTGTCGTCGAACCGTTAATTTCAGAATACTTTAGGTCAATATTGATAACGAACTACTAAGTTAGTAAGAATAGAATAGAATAGAAAATCATTTATTCAAATAAACTTAATTTAAGCACTTTTGAATAGTCATAACAATTTGTTTTTTATCTACCACTCGTTCGGAAAGCTGTCTCATCACAAGAAGAACGAGCAAGAAACTTGTGTGTTGCTCTTTTAAATAATCCTTGTAAGTTTACATTTACAAGTCGAAACGTGTGAATACAAACTACCAACAAGCACTAATTCTTAGAGTCTTCATCGTCTCTTATATTTCCTTTCTCTCTGATCTCTGGAAAAATTATAAATTTATGACACACCTGTAAGCTGGCACCGTAAGTATCTGATATTCCTGTGGTTGAAATAGATGGAGTCTCGTAATACCTCTTACCACCTCGGTGGCTTCCATCCATCAAAGCGGATTGAGGATTTTCTCCCAAAAAATAGGCATAAAAACAAAAATTAATCCGAAAGACGATGTCACGTCTTGAGGAAAGCCATATTCTATTAATATTATAAACGCGAAAGTTTGTGAATATGGATGGATGGATGCTTGTTACTCTTTCACGCGAAAGAGTAACAAGCATCCATCCATCTACTGAACTGATTTTAATGAAACTTTACGGTAAAATAGCTAATCACATTAACACATACGTTATAAATTTCATGCAGATGAAACCGCGGGCTTATGTAGTGTTAGATAAGTTCAGCAGACTATGCAACACTCTTTTCACTTTTGTTACAGAGGAATATAAAACAACATGCACATAATATTATATGTATAAGATCAGTAATTGTAAATGTACAATGCACAATTTCTCCATGATATTTGTAATGCATGCGACATAGCACTTTCATTGTTCATTATTATTCAGAACGGAATATCTCGGACTGTGATGGACCGACATTTTCCTCTGATTCATAACATCACGACACCTACGTGATGTGGGTGACGAGAAGGTGCGAAATTCTGTACAAGTCGTCGACCTTACTTACCTTCGTTGAGGATAAAGTTTCAATTATTTTATTTTTATTTACTTGCGTGCATTTAATTGTGGCTATAGTACTTACCTTAAATTGACTATTTTCCGAAATATTGTATCTTTAAAATAGTGCAAGAATCTGTGCAAACTTATAACATAAATACACTCTCTCTTTATAACAATAGATAGATAATTTAAACACATACAACAAAATGTGATTACTATTTAGAGGGTAAAAGATGAAGATAATATTAGGTAGTAACCGGTAACATAAAAAAAAAGTTGTGCAAAAAGCCGTTTCGTTATAGCCGTTTCGGAGGAGTTTCGTTAGACACTGTGACACGAGACTATTCTCGTGAACAGACACGTGACAGAGTAAAAAATTTATACATTCCTAGCTGACCCGGAAAACTTTATTTTGCAATATAAATTCATATCGTTTAAAAAAATAGGTGTGGAAGGTAGAAACTATCAGATTTTATTTTTTTAATTTAAAAGCGGCGAAAATTTAAGAATGAATGTAAATTTTGAAATCACTATAAAAATGTACAACAAATAAAAAAACAAATTTTATATAATAGGTTTTATCCTATTCTCAGACCTAGTGCATATACACATACAATATCATTCTTTTATAAACACTGCGATACAAGAATTTTATATATTAGATAGATAAATAGAAAACATTTTAACACATCGAACTATATATATGTAGAACTTACTGTGGCGGGAAGTGATTTTTTATATATATCTAATATCTTATCTGTGGTAATTTGGAACGAATATAGGATATGATCTGTTTTGCTCCCCAGCACTAAAAGTGGGGCAATAATGGGGGATAATCGTGATAAATTCTGAGCATGAAGCCAAGCCCATCATAAATTTACCAGGAAACCACCATGTTGTCAAACAGAGTCTTCATGGTATTTGACCTGATAGGATTCAATTACTAGCGACGGGGTTACTAGTCCCCAAAACTATTAATAACCTTCGGCCTTTGTAATACTATGTAATATTATGTATCTGTGCTAATACGGACAGTGGCCAAAAAACTAGCAAAGGACCCTATTTTTTTTTTGTTTTATTTATCCGTAACGGGCAAAGGACCCTATTTGGTAACCTGTTGTGCAGTCACCCTTAAGTGGAAACCATTATAACGTGCTTAGTTCAAGTTACAATCAATCAGTTCAATTCCATCCTCATCATTTCATTTTTTATCCTTCACTAATGTATTAAGTTTTTCAGTAGGTAGGTACATAATTGCCATACCTAATTCGCCGTAGTTACATGTAGTCAGAATATCTCTTCCGTTGCATAAAAATTTACTTCCTTCGACATTTTTTTTATGTTATAATTTCAAATTTAAAACTATTCTAAAAGAAATAAATATTTATTTTTTTAGATTTGGAGGTGGTGTTGATTACCTACCTGGCATAAATAAAAATGCAATCGAATTAAAAACATGAGTTAATTATTAATTATTACTATTAGTGCTGGAAAAGAATCGCGGAGACTCCTTTTGATATATTTACTTTACTTTTTAGCGAAGACTTTCAGAATGAAATGCGTGAAAATAAATAAACAAACAAAACAAATAATAATGCACATAGCGCCATCTGTCAAATATTGATTAAACAACATTGTCAGGGTGGCTGTTACAAAAAAATATATTACCATTGCAGTGATTGCAGGAAGGAAATTTATTTGTAAATCGCACCAACTATATCTTAACTATATTACCAATTATATATTAACAGATTTATATATAAATAAGGAGATATATATTTTTGCTTTCATTATAATATTTATTTTAACTTCAGTAATTAAAGTAACTGTGCAACTTGCAAACTGCAACACTTTAATAAAGTGTCAAGTCAACCATTCTCGATTTCTTACTCCTTGACAACATCTATTTGATCTTTCCGCTTTAATTTAATTAAAAACATGAAAATAAAACCTATTTAAAGACAAAACCCTGTTTATTTAAATTGCTTCAATTAAAAATAAGTGAAATGGTGTGAATTATTTTGTACTTTCCTGTGAATATTAAACAGAATCTCTCAAGATGGCTAAGTAAGTCTACACCTATTTAGAATTTAACTGTGTTTCTTATCTTTATAAATAGATTACCGTTTCATATAACAATTTTACGGTTACTAAACTCTTGCTGACGAAATGTTTAGCTACTTTTAGCATCTTTACTTCACTACGGTTTTCTAATATATTTATATTTGTAGTTATTGAATTTTAATCTCATTAAGTCTTAACATTATGATTAAAAGTGCCGATAATGTATGTTATAACTAACTCGGATTAGGATTAAAATCATAATAATACGTTTGCTGTAAATACCAAGGAGAAAAATTAAAACATGTATTTATAGAAATAAATTAATATTTTTTTCTAGAATAATTAGCACATCCCTCATATGTTAGAAAGAGATCACAACAACACTTATTTATTTAATGAATCCTTACGACTGCAGCTGACTGAATCAATCAAAATAAAGCCTATAAATTTATGATAGATATTTTTTTAATGATTAATAAATATAAAAATTAATCTAGGTAAGGAACTATGGAAAAGGATGTCAAAATCTAGGATACAGAGGTATGACATCTTAGTGTTACAGAATGGCAATGCATTTGTAATGCTATGGGTATCATATGATGTCTAATAAACTTATAAATCATGTTCTTGATTGCCCTGCATTGTTAGAACAAATATCCGTAGATATACTGTGAACTACCTCGCATCAAAAGTGCTCCTTATTTATAAAAAACCATACAGAAGCAATTTGGGACACTTCTCTACTATTAATAGAATAGGAAACAACTATAATATTGTACAGAAGAGTTTGTATATTGATCTGTTTTCCAATTTTAACAAATCAGCCACTCAAGAACACATAAAGAAACAAAAGTCAAACACATTCATTATCAGTTAAAATATATATATGATAATAATAAAAGATTATTAAAATTCTGCATTAAAAACATTTATGCATACCTTGACTACCAGTAATTAAGTCTTAATTAGAACTTCATAGTGGATGTCTTGCTGATCACCCCAATAAATAAAATAAAAAACATATATGCTATACATATATATAGGCAACAAATGCACTCACCATCAGATGAGCAGTCGGTATATTTACCATTCACATCATATTTAAATTTCTGTTTTTTTAACAATTGTCATAATAATTTTTCATCAACAGGGAAATGATGATAGTTTTCGTGTATGACACACAATGCTGTACTTCCGAGGAGGATGATCCAATAGAGGCTGTGCTGTATTTCCACCCTGGTTGGGTGTCAGACACCCAGCGGCATGCTCTCGCTGGACAGGTAAGTGACACTTCTAAATCTTTGTCAGTTCTAATACATCTGTACTACGTTAATATAAAAAGTTATGTACCCATTGTATCTTAAATTTGTAATTTATTATATTATATAAAGATGAACTATAAAAACAATTATCTGTATTACAAAATTAAACAATAATCATCAGACACTGCCTGCTTGCAATATAGCCTATATTACTTAATTATAATGTAGGTTAGAAGTCTTTTTTTAAGTTGATTTAATATTTGCTTATACACAAATATGCATCAAATTGAAATTATTCTTATTTAGTTGAATATATAATGTGTAATAATAATAAAAAGTAGAGTAATATATATAGTGATAATAAATAACAATAATAATAGTAAATATGCATATTAAGTAAAAGATAATATTTTAAAGAAAGTGTATGTGAATGTGGATGATTATGAGAGCAGAGGGAGGCTGAAAAAGACATGAGTTTATCCATTCATATTTCAGCCTTGCTGGTTATCCATCTGTCTGTTTTTCCTTCTTTCCTGTGTGAAAGATGATGGCAAGGAGTGATTGAGTGAAAGGAGTGAATCACAAGATCATTGAAGAACATATTATGATTACAAAAAAATATACTTTGATAAGTCAACAATACAATAATAATAGTAGAAAATGAAACATAGTTGCTTTCTAAGCTAATTTCCGTCAAACAGGTGGTGGGCACAGCACACTGCGTCAAATCCTTATTCTCTCCACCAGTTGCAATAACCCTGCAGAGCGGCAAATTCATCATCAGGGAATATGGAAGATACATATTGGTATGTAATAATATTATTAAATTGAATGTTAAACTGTCATTTCATAATAACTTTTTAAGATATTTTATTCTCTTAAGAGAAAGTCATTCTAAATAAAGAAACAATTATTCACAGGCTTAAAGGATAGATCAATGCAGGCATTGAAAGAATAAAAAATAAATTATTGAAATATTAATTCTAAATTGTTAAAAAAATTTAGTTTTTTAATGTTATTCCTTCATTGATGCCTGTACAAATCTATATAACAATGACCTATACAAACAAACATACTAATGAGTATATATGATTATACCGTAATGAATATATATGCGAGGAATCGTACCCGCGACCATCGGAAGTAAAGCGATGTTTAGCACATTGCTTTAGTTCCAGTGGTCGCGACATATTGTTGTTATATATGTGCTTGAGATGTAATAAATTATTTGTCTATAATTGGCCTATTTTAAAATTATTGTTCTTTTTTGTTTCAATTTTTTTTAATGGCCAGTTATCTGCTTTACCACTAACATCTGTATTAAAGTCATGTTATACAGGTTGATTATTTAAAAATTTTCATATATTTTTTTATTTTATCAGGCAATTGGCAGTGATCGTAACATCCCTGATTGGGTACTCAAAAACCGAGCGAAGCTACTCACCTCAATGATTAAGGTGTACCACGGCGATCTGCAGACTCTGGCGTCCCAGATGGAAGACCAACGCCGACTATCTGAGAAGCTATATCAGATCTTCGAGACTTACCTGCCAGTGTTGCAGTATGGGTGTCATATATTTCAAAGGGTGCCAATGTTAAGTCTTCCAAAGGTAAGTTCTATTCTATTTCTTGTGCATTATTCTACTATAATCTATGGGAGATTACAATAGACTTAATGCTCAAGTTTTTTTTCGGTCTACTATATTATAAACGCGAAAGTTTGTGAGTATTGATGGATGTTTGTTATTCTTTCACGGAAAAACTACTGAACGGATTTTGATGAAACTTTACAGTAATATAGCTTATACATCAGAATAACATATAAGCTATAAATTTCACGCTGGTGAAACCGCGGGAACAGCTGTCTGTCCGTCTGTCTGTCAGTCTTTCCTATTACTTGCGCTCATGTATTATATGCATTCATAGAATTTTCCATGTCAATTTTGATTAGAGTATGTTTGCTAATGGTTTAAGTACATAACTGATAACGAGGTAAATGTTTATTTACATGCGTTATCAATAAGATTGGAGACATTGTAAAACGTATTTTACTATGATTAAACGGATAATGATGTTTGTATCGATTTGGGTGTTTTCTATGTATATTATGTATTTATTTTACAAAAAAATGTATTTATATTATTTTTCTATTACTCATACCACAAACTCTGCTTTACTAGGGACTAGATGGCGCTGTGTGAATTGTCCTGAGATATTATATTATATTAAGTATGGCTGTTCAAAAGAGCTTAAATTTAAGTTTATTTGAATAAAAGATTTCTATTCTATGCTATTCTTACTTTCAGAGCGCCACATCCGTGTATATGGAGTCGATGCAAATATTGGAACATTGCCGCAAGAGTAAGGGCGTGCTTGGTGGTGTAGTGTTGTATAATAACAAGTAAGTGCAATACTTCGTGGTACGAACCCGCGACCATCGAAAGTAAAGCTGTGTGCTAAACCGCTAGACCACCGAGGCCGTCAATTTCTCTAACTAATACATAGTTTATTCAACAGTCACGCGGCTGAAGTCTTGAGTAATATTGGTTAATATAATTAATACAAAAAAACTGGCTTCGATATCCAATATTAACTAACTATATAAAAAGGCAAATAGCGAATTGTCCATAATGTCTAAATCAAGGCATGAGTGTAAAAAGCTAGTTCTAAAATGGCTCATAAATAAGTCTTCAAATAAATGATTATGACTGATTTCCTCTTATTAATTGTTTAACCAATTGTTGTGTATTCAATATTCTTTCTATTTGATTATTTAATTGAATTAGTGCTAATCGGTAGTTTGTATTCACACACTAAAACTTAAATTGTAAAGTAAGAATAAAATTATTTAAAAGGGTTTCTTGCGAATGGGCGGTACATTAAAAAAAACGTGATAACTATTTAAGTGTTTCAATATAAGTTTATTTGAATAAATGATTTTCTATTCTTATAATGAAACTGAAGCACTCATTGTACCCGTATGTTAGTATTTACTTATCTTTGTGTTCATAATTAAAAATTGTATATATGTAAGTAAAATTAATTAGTACAGGTCAACAATTTATACTACATCTTCTGTGTCACTGTATGGTTGAAGGAATTCAGCACTGCTTATCCTAATATACAGGATTTTTCCTATTTGGGAGCAGGGTTTCACCTTATATCATAAGGATCAATATAACACTGTATTGTACAATAAATAAATAAATAAATAAAAATAAACTAACCAGCTATAAATTTAATAAAAATTAAAATAACACTGTCAAAAGAGAATACAGCTTTATTTTTCCAGAATCGGTTTTTACAGAGAACTTTCTAAAAAATGTATATATGTTGAATTATATCTCAGATATATTGTATGAGTATCAATATCATAGAGACTGTGGATGAGTTTATGAGAGTATGGATACTCTTATCAACCTTTCTTATTAAAAGGTAGAATATAACATTTTATATTAACAAGTTTAATAACAATGATATAGAAAATTGTCATGTATGTCTTGGGTATATGATACGGCGTACGGTTCATATTACATTGCTTGTGGTTTAAAACTCATCCACAGATGATATTGATACTCATACAATCTTTCTGAGATATGATTCACGATAATCGACTTTATGTTCTACTGCGACAGATTTACAGTTGATTTATAACTTGGCCAGGCTTAAAGAATGTTTCATACGCATGATTTCTTAATTAATTAACCGTTAGGTGGTCAATTATTGGCTCTGTTGCTTACGTCAAATAGAAGACAAAAATTGCTTTTATGGGTTAATATACTTTGATAAAAGGGTAAACATTTTAGTCAAAAATAAATTACTTTAAATATAGACCGTTTATATCAATACGTATAATAAAACAAAGTCTTTTGCCATCGTTTTGTGAAGCTGTAAAGTCCAGCACCACCTAATACCATTATGCCCAATTTACACTCAGCCCGAGTGGGTAGGGAAGTGAGCAGCGCGAGGGTATAAACACGAGTGCAAGCACTTCCCATGCCATTGGCGCTGACACTCGCGCTGCCCGGCGCTCCCTCGATTGTCGGTTTTTCGTGCGCGAGCAGCGTGAGTGGCTGCGTGTTTTTACATTCAGCCCTCTCGGTTGTCGCCCGGCAATATTTCTGGCAGCGCGAGTGGCAGGGGAAGCGGCTGAATGTAAACGTAGAATTTAACGTGAGAATAGTTCGAAAAAGATCCTTCATCGCATCTATCTTTATGATAGCGATAATCTATAATATACATATGTCTATATGTACATATATAATAAAAACTACTAAACGGATTTTCATGCAGTTTTTATCTATCAACTGGGTAAGTCATGACGTAGTCGACGGCCTCAGTGGTGTAGCGGTTTAGCACTCAGCTTTACTTCCGATGGTCGCGATTCGATTCCTCGCACGGTGTAAACATTTGTATTCATAAGCATGATAGTTTGTATCAATCAAAATCTATTTTATTTTTTCAGAATAATCTCAACACAGTTACCACCCAGTTTGACCTCATACCTCACAGTGGTAGATCCGTATAGAATAAAGTCACCAGCGGAAACACTCGAGACTGAAACGCCCCTACCGCTGGGCGCGCAACTACTAGTTGTATATGTAGGCAAGAAAATGTATGACAATCTGAAGAGACAGGTGGAGAAATTACAGGAATTCCATCAAAATGGAGAAGAGATGATTGCCAAGTTTAAAAAGGTAAATAATATCTATTTTACTATTGCCGTTGCAGACGTTGTATGTATCAACAGACATACATATAATATAATAAAGTCAAATCAATTATAAAAATCTTTTTATTTATTTGTAGACGCTCAATATCTTAATTAATCCGTTAAAAGTTTTTTTTTATTACAGTGGGTTCAAAAACAAAACTTTATATCTATTATTATTTCAATACCACACAACCGAAGTCGCAGGCACAGATAATTATTATATATAAGTAGCTTACTCATAATTTATTACCAAAACACTTTATTTCCAGAACCAAGAGTTAGAAAGAGAGAAAATGCGCGAATTTCCACAAACGGGTATGAAAAGAGATAAATCACTGCTCTTTACTGCAGTACCAGAGGAAGACCACACCATGATATCTCCACCAAGCAAAGAAGAGAATAAAGATACAGAACGAAAACCGAGCATGCCCGACGTTGTACCATTCACGAACAAACCACGACCCAGGCCAACAAAACTATCACTGAGTTTTAAAAACCAGAAATCTCTGGATGAAGAAGTTAAAGAGAACGAGAAAGTGTTCACCGGGCAGACAAGTGTATGTTCTACGCCTATGGTGGAGTACAAGCGTCTACACGGCAACATATTGTCCATCTGTCAAAACCCAGATGGTCAACAGCAACCAGAAAATGAGCCTGATGTTTTGAAGAACGTAGAATCGTGTGCCAAACTTAACATAGAGAACGAAAAGCGTGACAATAAAATTGTTCTCGACCTGAACTGCATCGCAGATCATTATATTAACAAACCTGAGCCTATGCGTAAACTAGCCAGTGTTACAGATATACAGGACACTTATAAGAAGACCTCAGATAGAGCAACATCCAAATTCAAGTTAAAACACACGAAAGTACCTCTCTACGATGACATGTCGCCCTCCTCGGAGGACAGTCTACAAAAATCATTTAGTTCAATGACCATAAACGACCCTTCGTTTCCAGTATTCAGAAACGATGGGGTAGCTATATCTGAATCGCTCTTCAACCAATATTTAGAACAATACTATTCTAGAATTAAGGAAGAATCCAAAGAGGACAATATGTTTACATTCCACATGAAGTTGTGTGAGAAAGAGAAATTTGAAGACTTCGATTCTGAAATGACAAAGTCTCCACAGCGTACACCAAAGAAAATACCCAAAGATTCTAATAAAACGTTATCGTCGGACCAGTCCAGGCGAAAATCGTTGTCGCTGCCTCTAAAATCGTTGTCAGAGAGTTCAGATTCGCAGATAGGTTCGGATCCTGAAGCCGTGGGGTTCAAGAAGAAGTTGACTGGAGTTCAATTAACGCCTTTGATGGAGAAGTTGAGTCATTTGGCGTTTTCAGACAAATCAAGTGGGTACAGTAGTAGAGTGATGACACCTTTAGAGCTTAGGGAGTTTCTCACGCCCGCCACCGAGAGACAAATTACGTTTTCTGACAGGTAAGTGTAATACTTGTAATATTCATAACATTTTTCGATTGTAGAAGTAATGAAAGTTTAAAAAAATTGTAAACAGAAACCAGTAGTTACTTTATTTCTATATTATGGGAATCTTCCTATAAAGTCTATCTCTGATTAACATTCAATGAAAGCACCAGTGGAGGATGTTAAAGTGAACATGAGGTCGGGACAGTTAATCCGTCATGACAAATTTATCATGATGGTTTCCAGGGAGAACCGCGTGGAGTTCAAACTGACGTGGTATATTTCTAGCAATAGGGTCAACAGTCTACATTACTAAATTCAAATTAAAAAATCATTTATTCATGTAGGACATTTTACCCGCTTATGAACGTCAAGTTTTACATTATAATTCATTTTTTTTCCCTACCGTCCAGTTCGGTATATATATAGATCCAATTGAGAAGAACTGGCAAGAAACTCAATTGAATTCCTTTTTTTTTTTGAAGCCAGTTTATTTACAATGTATAGGTTTAGGTAATAATGTATACTAATAATCCTGTCCAACCTCTTGTATTAAAATTAGTAATTAAATGCAAGACATTTGTAGTTTATGCCAGAAATTTTAGTTTAAAACTGATATTTTTAATTTCATTTCGCATAGGCCGAAAACACAATGTCAGGTGTCGGACAGTGACTCGGACAGCTCGTCCGAGTGCGACGGTCCGTCCGGGTCGTCCGGGCCGTCCGGGGAGAGCGCGGTGCGGTGCGCGCTGTTCGTGAGCGGCCTCCACAACATGGCGCTGCTGGCGCTGCTCGACACCAGCGCCGGACACTGCCCGGACACCATCAGCGCACTGGTATATACGTAGAACGTAGACTGATAAAACTCATGTAGAACCATAGGCGCAGCCAGCAATGAACGCAGTGGTCCAGCAGTCTAAAATATTATCTAACTAGCAAATCATAGCCGTGGTCTTACCCCGATTATTTTTTTCATTAATGATTACACCCTATGCAAATTGTATCTGCATATTATTTTTTGTGTCGATTCTCGAGTATTCATTTTTTTAGGTACCTTACAAGACAGGCGGATGGGTGTACCCCATGTGTATCTCTGAACTGCACAAACGAGGAGTTCTGATCTACTGAGATACAGGCCTCATGCTTAATTCAATTCTCAAGTTCTTATAGTCACAAATTGCTTACTTAGGTATTGCTTAGATACTTAAAAAGATAATTATAAAAGCTGTAATGAGTACTATGCCTGTGTATTATATCCGCATCGTACCCGTAATGCGAACACAAACGAACCGATCATTTACTTTCAGATGGGCCGTATGCTTGTTTGGCACCATCATAGTAATATAGTGTAATGTAAGTTGAACTCTATTCTCCACAATTAACCTCTCATCTGGTCCGTACCATCATTGTATAAAAAGAAATTATGCAGGCAGCTAAATCGGCGATTAGCCTGGACTATTCCACGATAGCAACAACAGATGCAAGTATTAATGAATACAATGTATTTTAGTGGGAGACATCACTAAACGCCCTGGGACCGATCGAGCAGAAGTGCATGGAACCACTGGGAGCGGGCAGCGAGGCGGCTGACTACAGCTACCTGACGTTGGACCCCGACTGGGGCACCGTCAGGAAGGGCGGACCCTGGCCGGCTCTCGATATCGCTACCATGGGGCTCATACACAACGAGTTCGGCGAAGATCCGGAACTTTCTGAACTCATTTTAAGGTAATTTCATTTTTTTTAAGCTGTCATCGATTTTCAACTAGTTTTTATATTATATTATATAAGATAAGGGGTGTCAAAATATATTTATAATATACTTATTTGCTTATTTATCATAAAATATATTTTGATTTATTAATTGTACTACCACACTAAAAGGATTATGAATATATGAAAAATTGTGGAAAATTGCAAGAAATCCACCGACAAAAGCGCGGCTCTTATTTTATGAATGTATATAAATTATAAAATTATGAATCAATGTCAGGTTGACCTCCACGCTGTTCCTCCTGGAAACCATAACGATGGGCTAACTGACCTGACCTCTTGACTGTTCATCCATATCATCCTTCACTGGTGCCCCGCCAGCGTAAATACGTACTTAGATCACTACAATCACAATGATATTAATAATTTACACTTTCTAAATTTTTGTAACCATTCCCATAAAAGATCTGTTGACTTTTTCAAACGATACTTAAGAGCAACAAGTTTGTATAGTATTGATGTTGTGATATATATATATATATATATAAGGTTTCATATACTAGCAATAGTATTAAACGGGTGATGATAACGGTCGACAGGAGCTCGGAAGGTGTGGTGGTGGGAGCGGCGGGCGGCGGCGCGCACGCGTACTACGCGGAGGGCGGGCGGCGCTGGGGCGGCCCGCCGCCGCCCTCCGACCCCCTCGCGGCCGCCCCCCTGCGAGCTCGACGACGTCTCGCCAGAGACCACTCCACCCTCGTGCTGTAACTCGCCCCGCCGCAAACACGACCTAATGCTCACCTCTGGTTTTTAATTATTTCCTTACCTCATACAAAGTTAGTCGAAAAGGGTATACTAAGTCGCTAGTAAACATATTTTATTATATTACTAATAATTAATTGACCCAGCGTGATGGTTTCTGATATTTTTCTGTTACACAAATATATACATGTATTATTTATTACAAAAAAACGGCAACCCTATTCTTTGGTGTTCGACCAGAAGCAGCTCAAAAAAAGCATGCCTCCTATATCACTACATATATACTATTATGATAAAACTGATGACAGCTGATGTTAGGGTTGTTATTGTATTTTTTATATAAGAACTTCGAACACATTTTTCTTGAAATGCTTATGCATACGGTTTCAGGGAAAGTTGTAGAATAAAATTTATTCGTTACCATGACTATACTTGCAGCTTAGTATACCTTTCTTAACTAACCTTGTATACTAACACTGGATATATAAACATATGACAAGCAATTATGTTGATGGAGCTGTACCCAGAAACCTCCTCACCAGAAAATCTTTCATCAGCATGTCTACTCTGGAATAAGATATTTGATTGAGTCGTCTTACATCTTTTTCTAATCTTGAAATTATACACTAGCAATGTACTCCATATTTCGTGGTTAATGAAGAAAACTAACTGATATTGTTATCGTTTTGGTAACATTTTAAAAGATAATCACGATGTTAAGATAGAGTACATCTCCAGTTATTTATGTGAGCTTGTATCTCTGACAAGACAGGAACGCCTGTTAAATACTTGTATGTAAATACAGTAACTTATGACCTTTACAAGTGATCTAAATTTAAAAAAAAATAGGATATTAGACTGATCTGTACAATTGCCAAGGTTAGATGTGTAAGTAATTTTCAGAGCTACCAATTATGTTTCCTACACTTGTCCTGCCAATTGATAGAGTGCCCTCCCAACTTGTGCAAATTGAATTAGTAAATCATAGTAGCACATAGTATAAATCTTCGCTATATTATCCAATTTAGCATATATATTTCAAATAAGATCAGCTATTTAAGTGAATTAGTTGACTTTTCAAGAATTATATCTACAATTTTCTAATATGCAATAAATATTTTATCTGGGCTTTATACATTTACCATGTTTATAGCATGTAGTAATGTTACAGGTGATGTACATATCTTCAAGAACAGTTGTTTTAGCATTGTCAACTTTTGATAAGGAATCGGTCGTCGTTATTTGTGCCAGAAGTTAGGGTTCATATCGAAGTTTCGCAGCGTCTACTGCGTATAGTATTTATTAATATTGTCGTTTGAAAATTTTTTAAATGTTTTTTTAATCTTAAATTAATTTATCACTTGATCTCAAAGTGAAATAGAAATGTATTGTTTTTTTAAATAATCATTACAATATATTAAATACAAACTGTTACCCATGTTTGTCCAGGTGAATTTTAACTTTTTTTTATTACATAAATAAAATTTCTTAAATTCACCTAGCTTAAGTTACTCCTTATAATATTAGCAATCTGTCTGAAAGTCCTGTCAAAATTGTTCCAGCCGTTTCAAAGATTAGCAACAACAAACAGACAGTAATTTTTTCATGTGCATTTAGTGAAATGCTGATAATTTGAAATTACATACAGATACTTCAATTTCATTTATTTGTTTATATTATTTATTTATTTTTTAACATTAACTATCAATGGATAGTTGTTATATATGATAATGATAATGTAATGTAAAATAATAATAATAAACAATGATAATGTTCATACAATACATGTATACATTACGAAACTTCGATGTGATGTTTTTGAAGCGTTTGAAATTGTGTCGTGGATTTAAAATATTTACACTAGAACCAATTTAGTGTACTGAGTGTATTATATATTCAGTAATTTGTATGAAATGTAATTAACATCGTTAGCACACCGACGCTGCGAACTGCATTAGCAAAGCGAAAACTGTCAGTCATTTAATATTTTATTGTTTAGCAGGGTACACAGTATTTGATAGGATCTAGGTACCAAATAGATACAAAATCTTGCCGAAGTCTCATGAGATTCAAAACACCAATAAGTGACATTTAAGTGACAAATATTTTTTTAATTGTTTTTAATGTTTATGTCCAATTTTTTTTGTATACTACGATAGTGACAATCGAGCATTTGATTTTGTTTGTTTTGTAATTTATTGAAGCATACGATATATTGAAATAGCCATTGAATTGAAATTCATCCTGAAACTTATTTCGCATTGGTGTGCTAACGTTGTTAATATAGATATTATAGTTTAATACAATTACCACAGGTTCAGAATCTGGAAATTAATGTATTCCTTTGTGAACTGTATAGATTATTGTAATTGTACGAGATGAATTTGTAGACTGCAAAGGGGATGTAAATGTAGTTGTAATTTTGTAGTGTCTATACATGCTTCACTGTGCTCATTCTATTCTTGCCACTAGTTTGTAAGCTTTAGGCCAATATTTGTCATTATTTAAAGAGCTACTAGGTTTATATTGTTTCCCTCCATTCTCGTCTATTGCAGACAAAAAATAAGTTACTGCTCAAAATTTCAAAGACATTCCATTATGCACACATGTGCTTTATGCCATTTATAGCTGTTATGTGATGTGTAAAAAGAACGTCCTGTAGTGTGCTGTGTTGTATGCAAAATTATATGTAATGTGGTATTAGACCAATGGAATTAATCGCCCAAGTGTTTTAAAGGTTGTTTACGTTTTTTAAAACTATTATATCAATTCGCTATAAGTTTATAAATTCAATCGGTTTTCCGTCAAATTGAAAAGAAACTGCTTTCGTATGTTAGTACCCTTTGTTTAACTTTAGGGCAGATTTTCTGGTAGAATCGTTGAAATTGTTTAAAACATTAACAATACCATCTTCACAAAAGATAGTACATATTGTATACTTAATATAATACTGTATTATTTCACAAGTTACAATTTTTTGGAACTATAATGACTTCCCAGTCATAATATTATTCGGGTTAATACAGTATTGCATTAAGTATGCGATTTATTTCGAGTATTACATGCAAAGTGCAGCTGTTTGCTATAATATCCATACCGTAATGTAGGCTAGAGAAATAATCTCATCAATAATTTGTATTGGCTATGTACTTACAATACTATTGATATTATGTGCATGCAATATATTTCCTAGCAGTCAGTCGTCTATATAGGTCCTACGTGAGGTACCTAGTTTCAGCTATTTCAAAGGCCAAGCAAATTGTTTTGTCAAAATGAAGTCAAATGTAAGATTTAAATTACAGAACAAGAGACATTGAGATCTGTCTTCCGAAAAGGCAATGCTTGAGGCATCACGGTCGTCACATGATAACGTGATGTGTGTAATCCTCTTGTTTGGCATTCCAAAGATGTAATTGGCGCCAACGCAGTTGCTTTATGCAAATAAATTTTAATTTAAATTAATTTACTCAAAAAATAATGTTGCATTATTAAACTACTACTGTTATAAAACCAAATTATATTATTGTTATTAACAGTACAGTGGAGCTCTTGGTAACAGTACGTGCTGCTCTACCTACAGAATTCGAAGTGTAGCAAATGTTCAGAATAGTTTTGTATAGCAGATAATCCTGCATTTATTTTTTGTTTATTATTTTTCCTACAAACAGCAACATTATCTGAGAGATTACATAGGATATTATTTTACTTTTTAGAGATCTTAAAATAAATGTAGACATGCAGGGTGAGTAGTCCACTTTTCTTTCTTGCCAGGCGGTCCTCCAGTGCCATCCGCACTCGGCCCCTATCGTCCGATGAAGCTGTAAAGGCCAGCTGCGGCCAAATAGAGTAATCCGATACCGATAGGTGTCTCGGGCGTTAAATTCACAGAAATCCATATTATGTGTAATTAGGACCAAACTCATTTAAATAGTGATGTACCGAATTCGCTATTCGAGTAAAGGTTCCGCTTTACGCGAAAGGTTCAAATCGGTGTAACTGTATTTATAAGTGATTCATTAATTACTTTCTAGCTCTAATTATACGCTAGCTATGACATGTATTCATTGTGTTTACTGTTAACTCTTGTTTCGTAATGTTATTTCCCACAGTATTACTTTTTGTTAATGCATTCCAAGCTTCGAAAGCTTAGTACAAATATCATTTGAGTATTTTTACGGCCAGTCTTAGAAAGATCGGCGTTACCAGCCTGTAGTTTTAGTACGTACAAAATGTATTTATGCGTCCAATATGTATGCCAAACTTGAATTATTTATATTTTGTTGTTAGAGGCATCGCACCGCAGTTAGACACGTTGCGTGAACAATTTAATCTGTAGTGTGTGTAATCCTTTATTTTGTTATTTCCTATTGACTGCCATAAAGGAGGAGTGCCAATACGCGTGTATATGGTGTCACCAATATTTATAGGTATTGTTAAGAATTTTAATAAAAGATGACGGTGAACTATGTCTAATTATTTATATAAGTACCCCCACTCGAATGAGAAAAACGGACGCAGAGTTGTATTTATTTATATAAGGTTTTAAAAATTAGTTCCAAATAATCGTAACAATATGATGTAAAAGCAGGTCAAAAGTGCACCAATTTTTGTTGGATAGCGAACACATTAACTAAAAAATGTGTTAAAGAAGTTGGTAATTTGCTTTAAGTTTGTTTGATGCGTTATAAATTGAGTGAGATCATGAGATTTTTATAGAGTGAATTTTAACGAAAACGTAATTTTTATAGATTGGACTGTTTATACTGATCATTCGCTCAAACTCCATTTTTCTCATTCGTTTTACAGCATAAAATACCAGTATAACTACTTATGAAATAAATATATATTTGAATAACAATGATCAAACATAAATAATATACAACTATTTAATATATAATGGCCCAATAGTCGTAAATATTTGCCACGGTTTTGAATATTGATTGGATAAACAAAAATCATCAATTAGCGAAACATATAAATTTGATGCCCACTTACTAAGATATTAAATTTCAACGTTATTATATATTCTATATTGATAAAATCAATATTTTAAGATTTACTACCATAAAATCTTGCAAGTACAATACAGAACGTATGAAAGTAGATTTTATGAAACAGAAAAACTGTTAGTATATTAATAGCTACCGACAATGTATACAATCAAAATTCAAATTCGTTATATATCGACTACGAAACACGCTTATTTACAATCGTTTATATTAAAATCGTAATTAGTTGTTGCTTAAACCAGATTCTTAGTATAATTAACAGCTACTTTGTCTATATTATGGCTCTACATTACCCCCTCACATTAATACAGATACCAGATAGGATTATGGATGAGAATAGGTGCGAATGAAGAAGAACCAAAATGATATTACAAAACTATTATTTATTAACAAGTCGCTGCTCACAAGTCTACACTAAAAATAAGATAGAATATACCGACCGCGACGGTCCATACATAAATACATACTATGGTGACGAGAAATGCAATAATGATCACGTTGGATATATACCGACAGATAATGTAAAGTGTAATAGTATCCTAAAGTCAGAAGATAAAGAATATGATCTGTGCGCGACTTCTCTCTTGAGCGTCTTGAAGCGAGCTTGGCCTTCGAACTCCCTACAAACCGGTAACCCGATCATATTCTTTTCGCTTCGACATATGTCAAGTTAGGTCCGAAAACTTGGCTTCTACGCCCACATTTTCTTTTCGGCACCCACCGGCCGGTCGGATTTTCGGCAACCGCCAAAAGGCTTTTCAATCAAACATTTTCAAAACTTCAACACAGTTACGTTTCAAGGAACTTCATCCTTTACTTCTTGTTTCAATACCTTTTCAAACAAACAAAATCAATATTAGACTTGGCGTTAATTCTTTATTAGATCTAAATTTTACATCCTAGAGGCGTCCGAGCCCTGACTGTTACAAACTAACTTATATCTAAACCCTTTTCGTATCACTTCTAATTAAACATAAACTGTTATCCACAGAGTAATGCGAGCCGTGTTCACACGCGTGCTTACGCTTACAAAAAAATAATTATATTAACAATGTATTTGTCGTATAACTAAACCGGCCTTCGCAGGTACAGTATAAATGCAACACGAGGCCGGTGGACAATGTTTGGGAGGGTGTAGTTGTATCAAAAACTATGCTATATCTGAAGTTGACCTCAGCATCACCAACTTACTAATAACGACCTGCAAAGTCAAACAGGGGAGTAACCATGGTGTTCAATGCTATGAAATGAAAATTATACTATGGATTAATGGCATTATGTCTAGTAATTCATAATGATTATTTGTGTCAAATAAATTTGGCATTTTCCAAGTAAATAAGGCATTTATTAGACCAAAACAAGATGGTGGTGTTTATTATATAAATTTAAACCTTTGGCAAGACTAGAACCTGTATTCATTAGGTTCCCGCGCCGTGAACGTCTACAATAACGCCATAGATAACTACAACTCGAAATGATTTTGAAAATCAGACAGGCGTTGTCTACACAGTAATACAAAGTTATATGACAAAGTCTTCTTAAGTCCAAATAAAATATAGTACATAGGTTTGTCTTGCCAAAGGTCAAATAATCCAGTCTAATACTTCAAGTACCGTAATTGAATATCTCGTTTTTTGGGAAATATATTTTTGACATTCCAAAAGTACATTTTAAATTTACAATCACTACAAATTGCTAGACATTTCTAAATTGACATGACAAAGGCGTTTGTGTATTATCTTAAACTATTTTACAACATAAAACATTAGCCCAATGGCCAATATGAAAAGAAATAATACATGGAGAAACAACATGCAATGCACACAAGAATCTGAATGTTTGACTATTCATTATCTTGGTATTTATGTGCCAAAAGATTTTAAATATTTATAAATTTAACATATTCAAGAATTCATTGCAAGGGTCTCAAAAATAAATGTACATTAATTTTGAATAGCGAATTATGACACATACAATTGATTTCTCACAAAAATAAACTAAATTTCAAAAACACTACAATAGTAAATTAACTGCATGCATTATACAGAATCTAGTTCTGGCAAGTCATGAGCGTTTGACAGTATATTACAAATGTAATATCAGATGACTTAACTATGTACATAGCAAGAAAATGCGTAAATCAGCAAGTCAATGCCACAAAGTATTGCACAAAGAGCAACACTCGTTACGAATGAGCAGTACTTATCAATCTAGATATACACCGACTATTAAACATATAAATTGGTTTAATTCCGCCATTATTACAAAATTAAAGTGTTGCAAATCTGGTTCTATGCATGACGTATTTGTTACCTGATCGCTTGAGCCGATCTGACCGTTCCTTACTAAAGGAGTCTGGTTGATTTGTTGGGTCCTCATGTTAATTTTTAGTTGTCCATACTGTATTGTTATCGGCTCAAGAAATGGTATGACATTAAGAGCAAATTACAATCGTAAATATAAATATATAATTAATATTATCTATAACATTCTCATACTACTTTTGCCATAAGTAAACCTCTGGAACTACTATATAATACACTATTAGACCACTATAGATAGACTCAATGTAATAATAATAACAATATTGAATTATTAATTGTATTATTTACTAATAAAATATTACAGAATTAAGTAAATTGTAAAATCTGTAATTATAACTAATGTTGATTAAAATATAATTTATGAATGCTCCAATAGTGTCTATTGCAGCATTAGTAAATTCACTTTTAATCAATAGAATTAAACTACTCTTGAATGACCTCTAAGTATCGATTTACTGTGTCTGACGATACTTGTCAAAGGTCAACCATTGTCGCAATGCTTATGACGGAAGTAAACATATTAATACTAATTAAATAGTTGGTGTAATGAATTTAATACAATGTAACACTCGTGAAGTAACTCGAAACAAACATAATGTGCTACACATTAAGAATTTTTGTAAATTTCAATATGGAATTCTGTATAGAACAATCTATTAACAACTAGCGACTTAAAACTACATTTCTGTATTAATTATAACACATTTTCTTACTACACAGTCCATTTGGATTATTTGACTTTAATTTGTTAGAGCCTAAGTGTAATTAATTTATTAATTACATTTGTCATTATTAAGTAAATTACTACCTATTACAACTAATTTGGACGCGGTTGGGTGCAAAACGTTTGGTCAGTCATTAACTTCATTTATGACAGGTAAAATTGATAAAGCAATGGTATGAAAACGTTTTATAACTGAAACAATGTGAAAATTCATAGCATTGTCATATTTCAGTATAATATAATATAAATATATAAGTACACAACTACGAATGTAGATATAAAATGTTTTCATGAAAGGTCTGAAAAGATAATTTGAAAGATAGCCATATGTTGAATGATGTTTCGTTATGTTGTAGGCCAATTGACTGAAACGTTTAACAACATTATGTGGCGATTTCATATTTGAGATTCTTTACTAAGTATACCTAACTCATAAACACGAACTAATAAAGATAAGGAGTTAAATTAGCTAGTTTGCTAGTCGTCTAAAACTCGTCAGTTAATTTTGCATCCAATTTGCAATTTAGTTTTGTGCAAGTTGCATACAAAAATATGTAAGTTTTATATATCTTTGCTATTGAAACTGCAATTAAAACTAAATGTTGGAAATTTCATATATTTATAATCCACTATCTCAAACACGAAATCTACTATATTTAGAAAAGCAAAACCCTCAAGACTTTCATGAATTTACAAAAGTGATAATTTATTTACTCAAATCGAAAAAAAAAACATGACAATCGTTCTACGAGACCTGTTAGGTCCTTGAGACAGTCACCGACCGTATTGTAACATTGGGCACCCAACTGCGTCCAAACAGCAGTCAAATAGCCCATTGTGGTGATAGGACCGCCACCGGAAGTCCAGCCTACCGCTCGGGGTGGTAGTAAGACTTACGCGGCGAGTAGGAGCGCTCGCGTTCGTAGCGGCGCGAGCGGCGGTAGTGCGGCGACGGTGAACGGTGCCGGTAGCCGCGGTGGTAGTAGTCCCGCTCGCGGTACCCGCCGCCGCCGCGGTAGTAGTACTCACTGACAACAAATATCACATTACTAGCTTTTGCTCGCGGCATCGCTCGCGTTAATTTATCCCCTTAGAGGAGGAATTTATCAAGATCCTTTCTTAACGGATGCCTACGTCATAACATCTACGTGCGTGCCAAATTTCAGCCCGATTCGTCCAGTGGTTTGGGCTGTGTGTTGATAGATCACTATGTCAGTCAGTCACCTTTGAGGTATATATATTTAGATTAAAGACATCCCCTATTCTGACTTTGTAACTAAAGTAAGTACTCTTTAAAATATTAGTATAGATAAATCTCCAGTCATATTGCTCTAATGCGACTCTCGCTTATTTTGGAGACAAGTGTCTGACCACGCGTTACTACTTAAAAACGTAAAATATTATTTAAATACAATACTGAAACGAGGACAATTAATGTTATGTAAACACAGCACTTGACATCTTCACATTTATTTATATTCAACATACATGTCAGGAGACAAATTTACTACAATACATTCAATTTACTTTATAAAAACATATCCATGTTATCCCGCACATTGTAGAATGGTGCGCAATTGTTTTTATTATAGCACAGGGCACAAACTAGCATGTAGCTAGCCAAAATCAGGAAAATTGTTAGTGTGGTGCCGTCCTTTTAAGAAGGAATAAGCCCTTTCCTGGAAGATTTCAGTATCTATTCGGAAATTACTTTGCTGGAAGGTGATTCACTTCATTTTGAAGGCATGACAGCTAATACTCTATCACTTTGGGGGGAAGGGGATTGCTAGTAATGGGGATTGATAACCCCATTGCTAGCAATGTACTATGTCAGGTCGACCTCACGCGGTTCCCCCTCGAAACCATCGTGTTAAATTCCTGGTGAATTTGTCACGATGGGCTAACTGACCTGACCTCGTGCTCATCTTATCATCCTCAACTGGTGCCCCGCCAGCGTAAACCGTTAGCGCAGACGGGTGCACCATTCCATTATCATCAACAAAAAAAAAATACTCTATCACTTTGAACCATACACACAATTAACTTTCGTAAATTATTTACGATTTTGTTAAGTTGCACGCTCTGTCAACCTAACCAACTATAACGCACAGAATATACATAATTTAAGTACTTACTCTCTATCACGCCGTCTGTCGTATCCATTATCACCCCGGCTGCTCACGCTATAAACACAATTAAAATATAACTTAATAATAGCACCAAAGTTTTACCTTACAACTGGTCACCTAAATTTTTCCTTGTACACCAGAATACTATATTATTGAAAGTCGAAATTAAAATTACATAATTATAATATGTTACTCATTTGATTTCATACAACATACATTGGGACTAGACTTATTCAAAAAGACGAAATTAACGGATGTGAGATATATCTAATTCCGGGAATGATTTTAATTGAAGAGAATACAAAAAATTAGGACCCATTAAGACAAAGATGTTAGATGTCATTTTTGCTTAATATTTTTGTGTAGAAGCAGGCCTTTGGAAAATCAACTAATCCTTTAGTTGGCTTTCCCTAAATCTGCTTACTTTATTCTACCAACACATAGAAACCCAATTAATTTAAGATACTTACTGAGTATTTCTATGTTGGTTACAATATAAATCAAAGTATGGTTGCGTCTTAGATTCCTCCGCACGTTACGATTTCCATATATAGCTGTGCTTATTTATATCGGTCTGGATGCTTTCTATGTAAATTATGTATGTATTTACAAAAAAAAAATCGAAATCAAATAAATAAAAACATTTTCTCATGTAGGACATTTTAGTCTCTTATGAACGTCAATTTTTGTACTAATATTTTCCCCTACCATATCTAAGTACTTATATCAATAGTCTAGTAACTCCGCTTAACTTGGAACTAAACGGCGCTGTGTGATTTATCCTAAGATATATTATATACTCACGTAGGTTTTCCCATATAAATGCCGGGTGTAGGCGTGTGAGCGCGCTGGGTGATAGAGAAGTCCACGCGGATACGACGCCCGTCGATCTCCATGCCGGTGCACTCGTTCTTGGCCACTTTGGCATCTTCTTGGTTCTCATAGTACACGAAACAGAATCCTCTCGAGCGGCCCGTCTAAAACATTGAAAACTCTGGTTAAAATTTGACAAAAATAAAAAAAAAATATTTATGTTTATTAGCAATTGAACAAGCCATAATAATATTGTGAATGCCCAAGTGTCAGTCTGTCTGTTTATTTATTTCCAAAGTTTGTATAACAAATAAATTTCAATTTAAAATTGAAAAATTACAATTATTTAAAAGTTCAACACACAAGTTTCTTGCTCGTTCGTCTTGTGAAGAGACGCTTTCCGAAAGAGCGGTAGATAAAACAAAGTATGACTATCCAATAGTGCTTAAATTTAAGCTAATTTAAATAAAGGATTTTCTATTATATTGTATTATATCGTCAATTAAATAGAAATATAAATATTTTCAAAATTAGAAGCTAGAATTGCCTCCTTCTATATAGGTCAATTAAATTAACCACGCCGTCTTAATCATTATCTAAATACTTTTAAAATGATACATAATACTTCTGTGTAGATTTAAAACTTTAAAGGTAAAAATAATTTAAACATATTTAAAAACTTTAAATGCTACAAGACAAGACAAAAATGTACATTTTACTAATATACTAAATGATATTGTCTGAATACTGTCATTTTTCTATTTAACCGACGATATGGTGACACATACGTTTCTCAAATAAGGAATTATAAAATAGACTACTTGAAGTGAGGTAGTAATTCTAAGTGGACGGAAGACGCGGCCACCGACCAGTTAATTAATTAATACAAGGAACCTTACATAAATTTACTTTAAATTGAAATGAAATAAATTCAATGTTAGCATTTTTGAATAATCATTAGGAATTAACATACTGTCATTTGAATAACATGTGAGGATAATTCATCAGATACTTTAGATATATGAAAACATGCGCAAACTACATTTCGTTCCTACGATTTACAGCGAACTTATTAGAAAGTTATTTGAATCTATAAATATATTTTCAAGCAACAGAATCTGCTCGCTGTGATATTATTGTCACTTTGCTCGACTACGGCGAAAGAAAACGCTATTCCACTACTCTTATGTCATATTAAAAAACTCATATTAGGTGACATGTATAATACTAATATTAAAATTGGACTATCAAATACTGAACCACCTACTTTATATTAATTTCATATAGTAAGTTTACTCATAAAATACTTAATGTTTGTAGATATAAGAGGGGAGTACCTTAGTTATCAATAAAGTATTAACGATAATTCATTAGAGATAATTACAAACATGAGTGAAATTCCGATAAAATATTACTACAAAATTTGTAAATTTGATATAATTATTATTTGATACGGCGTATGTAGATAAAATATAGGTTTAATATACTATTAGAAAAAATTAATTATTATTAAATTACCTGGCATTATTGGAACTACAATTAAAAGTTAAGTGGGCTAATGAATTAGTTGCTATACAAAATATTACTATTTAATTTTCGGACTACTCTAATGTATTAGAGTAGTGGTAGCTGGCCTTTAAAGCTTCACCATCGTCTGGTGAAGCTATAAAGGCCAGCTACCACTGCGTGCAGATGGCACTTCAAACCCGCGGAAGGACTTATGGAACGGCTGTAGGCCAACTCCCGCCTGAAGGTTACGAATTTTGACCCGTTGGAATTGGACGGGGTATCGATCGTGTGCAATAGTATAAAATAGAAAAAACATTTGATGAAGCTGTACATCAATAATTGTTTGAATGTTTTCGTAAATATATTTCCCTGCCACGAGTTTACCACGTACCATCTGTTTCCCGTTCAATTTTCAACAACAATCTTTTTTCAGACGCTGACGTCAAAACCTATGTTCCGAAACTGAGCTTTCTGGACTTAGTCTTTATTTTTTTTATATTCTAACGCAGTTGGCCACAGCTGTCGTTTATATTTTCACCGGCCGAAAACGGAGAGATAGGACTAATAGAGCGAATGACCGCCAACTCCAGCATGCCGGATAAGACTTCACTGGTTCGAACATTGGCTCAGACTTACAATTTCGATTCCCATTGCAATGGAACAGACGATCGATCATAGGATCGTAGTTTTGGTGATGCATTTACATATATTCATATTCAGCAGTGACAAACGATTTTCTTTAATAAAGTATCCATACTAAATTTGAAATGTCTGTTACATTATTACGACTAAACAAATCTTAATAAAACTTGACAACAAGATAGATTATAGCACGTGGACGAACATAGGTTATTTTTTAATCCAAACTAGCTGTACCCACGACTTTGTCCGCATGGAAGTTAACTTTATTTTTCTAAAATAAAAGTAGTCTAAGTTACTGCTTATTACATCAGCTACCTGCCAAAAAAAAGTTCCGTCAAAATCGGTCCAGCTATTTTAGAGATTAGCCGAAATAAACAGACAGATAAAAATTGGAAAAAATGTTATTTTGCTGTATGTACCATATTTATATTGATATGCTATCTTACTATATAAGAAACTGTTATTTCAATATTACAAACAGACACTCCAATTTTATTTATATGTATAGATGTATACATAATAATATAGAAGTGTAGTCTGAACTTGTACTGTGGGGTAACAACTATTAAACTAAACTATAGATATTAACCACTCACCTTGGCGTCGATAACAACTTGCACTTTGTCGACTGGTCCATATTTAGAGAAGATATGGTTGATCTGCTGCTCAGTGGTGTACAAACTCAGACCAAAAACACCGAGGCACCTCGAAGGCGTAGGGTTCTCCTGTCGGAACATCACGCTCACTGTCCGTTACTGTTGCCGTTAGGGTCACAATATACTATAATATCGGCTGTACAATATACAGAATTAATCGGAAAGGATGACAAAGTATAGTTAAGTGATTTCGCGGGTTATTTCTCGCAACATACAACATACAAACATTTGTATTCATGAGTATGATTGTTTGTATCGCTGGATGTTTCTATGCATATTATGGATGTATTTACAAAAAAAGAAAAATGTATCTACGTATTTATATCAGTTGTTTAGTACCCATAATACAAGCACTGCTAAGCTTGGGACTAAACGGTGCTGTATGAATTGACCAGGGATATTATTATTATAGTTTCTGAAAGCGATTTCTTTCATACAAAAATAAACAAGTATTATTTATTATTACAAGGAAATATTTTTTGGCATTTAATCTAAAACAATCCAATTACATGATTAGGGGTATGGTAGTAGGAGTTGTAACTAAAAAATAAGTCTGCCTCCGACTTTCATTGATAAAAACTATTAATATCGTTATATATTTTCCAATAATAAGGCTGATGACAACTGATGTTATGGCTGTCTATAGTTTTTATTGTATTTTTATATCATTTTTACCAACAACTTTTAACTCATTTTTTTTCTAATAAAATTATATGGTGTCACGGAAAATTCTAGAACAAAAGTTGTACGCTAACATCGGTACTTTCATATACCTACTTGCAGTTTACTATATCTTTTCCGACAAACTCTATATATATCCCATACATACACAACACAGATAAGAAATAAAAACATATACAAACTATAAATACAATACCTGCAGTACTATACTGTACCAGTAATCTTTCTTGCCAGTTTTTAACTAAATTAAGTAACCGAATAGAACGGTATAAATCGTGAATATGGAAAGGGTAAAAAATTTCCTATATAAATAAATTATTTTGACTTTCGAGTATCTGTCAACCTTAAGAAATTGTAAGGTTAGATATAATTTAAACACTTATTGCCAACATTAAAAATTACAGAGTAAAAAGAAACATATATGGTTGGTAATAGGAGCTGCCTAAACTGTTGCTTATATATTGTTAAAGGCACTTAATTTGTAAAAGTAGATAAAGGACCTATATAATCACACGATACGAGTCCTAACGAGAGTAAAACTGATTTTCTGACTGACAATGTTAATTTAGATTTTTTTTTTAGTTTTATTATGTCATAGTATTAAATACTCACCCTATCGCCCTGATGGCGCCGCCGCGAAGACATCGGGCTGTGCGAATGGGATCGGCGGTAGGAGCCCCTCGGGGAGTACGAGCGCGAGCGGCTGCGCGAGTACCGCGAGCCACGGTACCCGCGCCGCGGGGAGCCCGAGCGGGAACGGGACCTAGGGGACCCAGCGTCAGCGGCGATGAGGCGTCTTAAATTAATGTGCATTAACAAATCATTAATATCAGCCTAATCTAAACACATAACTAAAATTATTAATACACAAAAATAAATAAAATACAATTTCATTTTAGTATTATGACTATGTGGTCCATGGTGGTCACTAGTTCGATTCTTCGCACGGTACAAATATTTGCATTCGTAAGTATGATTGTTTGTATCGGATCTGGGTGTTTTCTATGTATATTATATAATTATTTACAATGTCTAGTCTGCTGTTCGTGTATAAACCTTACTCCTTACTAATATTATAAATGCGAAAGTAACTGTCTCACTTTCACACCAAAACTACTAAACCGATTTAAATGAAATTTGGTACACATATAGTCTAGAACCTGAGAAAGGCCATAGGCTACTTTTTAATCTGAAAAAAGGATTCTAAGGTGTTGAAATGGGAGATGAAAGGTTATATGGAAGTATCAACAATTTATACCGGACATAGTCGCGGGCACATCTAGTTTTCTATAAAGGAATACCTAACACAAGTCAAGAGTCATTGTCAACTGTGTGTGGTATCATCTCAACAAGTAACATGTACACATTTAGCTGGAAATATTTTAATACAATGTGGCAAGAAGTGATGGAACCTATTGCCATGAAATGTTTTTTAAACAAAGCATGTCTGTTTAGTTTCTTGCTATTTGTTTGTAATTGTATCTGTATGCTGAACTGAATGGGATGTCATGTATGCTATGTGTTTGTAATTTGTGAATAAAGAATTTATCTATCTTATAAATCAAGTAATATGAGTTGTTTATGTAGATTCTAAATGATGTACAGAAGTTAGCTAACATACACTACAAACTGATTCAGTACCAGTTACAAAGACTATTTCATTACCAGTTTACTATCCAAAACATTGACAAGTCAAATAATAACAAACTTCAATGAAACATGCAATGTGGCAGTACCTGCCTCGTAGGAACATGCCATTATCAGTAAACCCCTCCCCCTCTCTCCTTCCAACCTCTTATGGTCTTGCCTTAGGCAATATTGATAAAACTGTAGTTAAGCAAACATTGTTATTGATTTAACATTGTTATGATGTTGGTTGTGTAATGGAAAATATATGCATTAAGTAAATTACATGTTACTATGGTAACCAATTGTTAGTGAGTACAATTGGAAATAAAAATTGCACATATAGATAAAATCAGTATAATAAAACATTTAATGATAATTTAACTTGTATTATTAATAATGGTTACAAATTACTTATTGCTCATGTATTGAATAAATTTATTGCTTGTAATTTAGCAATATAATTACAAACATATCAACAAATAAAAAGATGTATGGATCAATCTATATATCTGACTCTCTGGTAAATGAAACACCAATAATAAATTAATAAACAGTGTTGCATTCCTCATGATATCAACAATTAACAAAGTCTCTGACTGACATGGATAACAATTGCGATGGGACAGTTTAAGTAGTAGAAGGAAGAAAAATAGTAATTGAAATGAGCTGCATCAGCGACACTATTTAGTATTTATTAATATCATTACATATGTTAATAAATGTAATGGTAATACAGTATGCATCAAATAGATATTATTTTTTATAACAAATGTTAATTTTAGAAATTTATTCAAACCATATTATTTATATATGTAGAACAGCAGACATTACGTGTTAGTACAGTTTTGCTATGCTTAGTGGTAACCTTAAACATGAGGAAAAACACATTATGCTAAAGTGGCCATCAGCACAAGGTTATGTAAATAACCACACATTAAGTCTAATGATCGAATTATGCCGGACGCTAAACAGAATATATGTACGAAAAGTGAAATCCTATTATGTACTTACGGGCTTCGATATTTTCTGCTCGAAGATTTTGGCGGGGGCGGCGTTCTGGACCGGCTTCGGCTATGTCCTCGAGACATCACCGCGGCCTTCGGTGGCGGATCGCGCGATCCGTTGCGGGTTCTCGACCGACTTCTCTGAAATTATCCAAGCGAAAGAACGGCGGTAAATATAGCGAGCTGAGCTCTCAACAAAATAAACCACGCGCGGCGAATGCGCAAATAACGAACGATGGCTAATTATAGTACCTCTCGATCAGACATGACGTGCAACACAAAAGATAAGGCGTAAACAAAACAAATAGAATGTATTAAATCTATTAATAAACGCTAAAAGATTAAATTAAATTTATAAGTGCACAAGACACACGCGCTTAAGGTATTGATAAAACAAAATGGCGGTGATATAGAGAAAAACAGCAGCGAGTCGAGGCCACAAATGAAACTCAGGGTTGCCAACCTTAAAACTTCAAGGCCTCTGTAAATACTATACTCTTTGGCAGGAGCTCAGAAATGTTATATATTGGGTCTCAGACATCATATATGCTTGCTTGATTAATTAACCAAGCTACAATGTTTAATGTATTATTCTTTGTTCTTCTTTGTCCAACCCATGTTCCCAATTTATCTGGGGTTGGGTAGCTGTATCATTGTTTGTTGTATTCAGAAATTGAATAAAAAATGTAATAGTTTAAATTGCATTATTCATATTTATTTACAACATTTATATGAATAATAATAATATACTGCAACCAACTAATTTTCACATTTTGCAGCTAATGGCTTACAATTAGATCTTTGTTTCCCGGCTATTATAAAACAATTAAATCAAGTGAAAAGTAAACACAAATTCATGGATCAATGTTTCTTTTTGTTTTAAGATGATGAATTATTTCTTATCACGATCAATAATCTCATAACCGTACGGTTGGCAACACTTGGATATCAACCCGTAAACGTATCACCGGAAATTGGTATCAGTATGTCCAGCATAACAAGAAAATGCCTAACGTAAATTATGAATTTCAGTTAACATAATAGTGAATAGAAGACACAACACGAAGTAGAAGCGTGAAATATTCATTATGTATGCGGGTTCCAAAGAATACGGTAGATCGACCGCAATTTCGATGTATAATATATAAGTATTATGCTGAAGGATAGATTAACCGGCTAAATTTGACAGCTACAGCCACAGAACAATATCTACAACAAATCCATACAGACTGCTCTAATAAGTCAACTGCTATGACAGTGACAGCTATGATTTATTGCATTGGTTCCACAACTGCAAGGCTCGATTTATAATTGCCGTCTGTGATTTTCATTTCAACACACCAATATTTCTTTTCTGTCGCAGTTCCTTTTAGCGAATGATATTTATTTGGTTTTTCGTGAATTATGACTGACACCGAAGTCCAGAATGGTCTTTCTGGCGAACAGCCACAGGAGAAGACTGCTAAACAACTAGAAAAGGAGGCAAAAAAGGCCGCAAAATTGGAGAAACTCAAGGCAAAATTGGATAAGAAAAGTGCAACGCCTGTAGTGCAGAAAGAAAAACCAGAGGTACCTAGTTTACGTTCATTAAAATAGAATATCACAAGGTATTTTTATTTTTTTTATTTATGAAATTAAAAAAAAAATAAACCCATATGGTTTGTTACATGTAGCATAGGTTATTACAAAGCTTGCAATATGTTAAGTGAAAGGTACTTAAATGCTTGCAATTGTTTCATTGCTTGCGTCATTATTTCCATGCAATGCATGCTATATATTATGGTTATAAATCTGAAGTAATGTGACTAAGAAACTATAAATTTTTTGTTCAAGGTGAAACTAGTATAATTTCTATAAAGGTTCAAATAAATGATGAGTATATAAAATAAATTCCACATTACATGTGGAACATAAATAATGTAATATTTTAAGCAATTTACAAAATATGTCATTGGAATGTAAATTTTTACTCTATATTTATGAGAAACTACCTTTTTTCACACTTATCTTCTATTTGGGCAGGCATAAATAATAACATATCATAAATTTTGTCACAATACAAGTTCCTTGTGCGGGTTTCAATGTATAATTAAAGTTGTAATATTTGAATAATTCTAAAAGAAATAAATATTTATTTAATTGAATTTGTTTTTGTGTTGGATGGATTTGTTTAGCTTCCATCACATTCATCAGTGTGTTATTTATTACTCACCTTAGTACAATCATATCAAGATTTTTTTATTTTATTTTCATTTACAGAAAAAGGTTAAGGAAACAAAAGAAAGTGCAGTATATTCAGCTGACACTAAACCTGGAGACAAAAAGGATATATCAGGATCTATTCCTGATGCATACAGCCCACAATATGTAGAGGCTGCATGGTACGCCTGGTGGGAGAAGCAAGGCTTCTTTAAACCAGAATATGGGGTAAATATGATTTTCTTAATATTCTCATTCTTAGCCGATTCCTCAAGGCTATGGGTTGTAACCACCAGGAATGCTTTCAACCAATACTCTCCAGGCATCTATAATTCGTGCCAAGTGGATCCTCTACTGTATATTTAGCTTGAAAGCATCTTGAATGGCATCAGTTCATTATGCATTTACCTTTTTTTAAATATCTGCATGTAAAAGGAAGTAACCACAATGGTTTCAAGAATTGTCTATGTAGAGATCTGATATGGTAGACTATTAGGAAGATTTCCACAAGTTCTCATTACTGACAACCCCCACCCCCTGGAAAATATAAAGTAAAAACATTTATATTATTCCTATAATGATGCAATTGATTATGTAATGTTACTAGTCTTAATAATAAATATTGTGAAATAATTATTTTTGAAAATAAAAAATTTTTGTTATCTAATGAAAACAACTTCAACAGAAATGGAGAACATGGCAGAAATCTGTAAATTAATAATATTACTATCATATTTCAGCGAAAATCCATCCTAGACCCGAATCCAAAAGGTAAATTTGTTATGGTCATACCCCCGCCCAATGTGACCGGCAGCTTACATCTGGGGCACGCACTCACAAACGCTGTGGAAGATGCTATCACTAGATGGCATAGGTATGTATACATTTTTTTTATAAAAATCTATTGTAAATAACTATATAACATTGTAGTACTCTATATATATATATATATATATGTAGGAATATGTATATAATATACTACACACTATAATACACACACACAGGCACTCAAACAGAAGCTAAATTCAATTAAATATTAATTAAGTTTAAGTGAACATGTAAATTAAAACTGTTATACTTGTTTTGGGAAGGAACTGACTCCTATGAGTTGTATATCAGGATATACAACTCATACTAGTTTAGGAGTCAGGATGGCATTAAACTGTACACTGATGAAGGTTTAAATAAATAAATAATATTATTATTATTATATCTTCTACTCTTATATCTAAGTGTCTATACAAAAACCTATATTCAAATAACACTGTACAGCTTTATAGAATTTCTATGTCTTATCCTTGTATGTTAATTATGAAATCAATATTTTAAATATTAACTACAAAATTATATTTACAATGCCCTCTCATAACAATATCCTTAGAATGACATTATAACTCTGAACAATTAGTACAGCGCAATCTAGTGTCAAGTTAAGCAGAAATTGATTATGCATGCTAGACAACTGGTATTAATACCTTAATACATTTTTTATATATATATTAGCTGTCCCGGGAAACGTTGTTTTGCCTTAAAATAAAAAAAAAAATTAGGGGTGGACTACCCGTAACATTTAGGGGGATGAAAAATAGATGTTGGCCGATTCTCAGACCTACTCAATACGCTCACAAAATTTCATGAGAATCGATCAAGCTGTATCGGAGGAGTATGGGAACGAAAACTGTGACACGAGAATTTTATATATAAGATAATGTACATAGAAAACAACCAAACTGATAGAAGCAATGATGATAATAATAATCATCTTTCTTTGTCTCAAACAAAAACTAATACAATTGCTGCCCATACAATAATAAAATTTAAAAGTAATGAAGGAGACAAAACGGTCTATAACTCAGAGGGAGCAGTGAATCCACCCTCTCTGCTATTCTGTTATAGCCTTTACCAATAAATTAATACAATAAGAGATCGACGACGACACTCATGAATACAAATTATTGCATCATCCAAGCATCAAACCCATGATCAGAATCAGAATTAAGGATATCTATCATATTATGGATTCAAAGACGTTTACACTTAAGACTCATGTTTAAATTTGAATGCTTATAATGTTGCTTACATATACTAACTTAACACATTGAGGACTACATTGAAAAATCCTATTGTGAATAATGATAGTAAATTTACACGCTGGGACCGAGTGATCACCCGTGGGCAAAAAAATGTCTATTTCAGATAGGCATTTTTTTTATTGTATTACATATTGTTTTTAGTGTACAATAGTTTGAGGTAGATATTATTTAACCCTTAGATTTATTTCAAGTAAACTGCCCACGGGTGATCACTCGGTCCCAACGTGTAAATTTACTTTCATTGCGGAGTGACTCACCGGTGGGCATGCGGTCTGTAACGTGTTAAGTACCCACATATAATAAAAATAAAATAAAAAGCTATACCACTAAAAATATGCCCTTACAATAGGATGAATGGCCGTACGACACTGTGGAACCCAGGCTGTGACCATGCCGGTATTGCGACACAAGTTGTTGTGGAGAAGAAAATATGGAGAGAAGAGAAAAAAACCAGACACGACATTGGGAGAGAAGACTTCATTAAACGCGTTTGGGAATGGAGAAACCAGTAAGTCGAGATCTGATTTCTTTTTATATAAATATATAACTCAACTGTACAATTAACACACCGTCAACTATATCTAAAACTAAGCAGAAGTTTGTTAAAAATTATCATAATAAAAAACACCAAGACCAATATAAACCAATATTCTCATGAAATGAAATTTTGTACATAAAATTTCCAATATTCAAATAATGAACAATCCTCTGAACAATTCAAACGACGTCATCTAGTCACAAGGTAAGCAGAGCTTGTGTTATGGGTACTAGACAACTGATATAAATACATAGATATATATTTTTTTCGTAAATACATATTATATTATACATAGAAAACACTCAGACCGATACAATCAATAATATAAATCATACTCATGAGTACAAAATATTTGTACCGTGTCATCACTAATGAATCCACCTATACATATAAATAAGATTGGAGTGTCTGTTTGTAATATTGAAATAAACGTTTTTTACTACATGCATTTGAATATAAAAACGGTACATTCACCAAAATAGCATTTTTTACAATTTTTGTATGTCTGTCTGTTTGTTCCGGCTAATCTCTGAAATGGCTGCCGATTTTGACGGGACTTTTTTTGGCAGGTAGCTGATGTAAAAGGAGTAACTTAGGCTACTTTTATTTTAGAAAAAATAAAGTTAAATTCCACGCGGACGAAGTCGCGGGAACAGCTAGTTTAATATATAAATGAATGGTTTAATTCAGAAAAGGCGACAGAATCTACGAGCAACTCCGTTCACTGGGCTCTTCATTCGACTGGTCCCGTGTACGATTCACCATGGACCCGTCCATGTGTCGCGCCGTCAACGAAGCCTTCGTCCGGCTCCATGACGCCGGCGACATCTATCGGGCCAACCGTATGGTGAACTGGTCTTGTACACTCAAGAGTGCTATATCTGATATCGAAGTGGACAAGGTCACGATCGCTGAAAGAACTCTGCTAACGATACCTGGATATGAACAAAAGGTATTTTGTAAATACAATGTAATTAGCTTAGACTTTTTTTGAGGGTTATTTATAATTCTACATTATATTTATGTATGTATGTGGATGGTAATAAAAATAACATTAATATTGTGGGTAATAATAATAACCCTTGACGTTTCGCACAACGCCATCTAGTCCCAAGTTAAGCAGAGACTTATAGGTACTAGTCAAATGATATAAAAAGTTAGATACACTTTTTTGTAATTATATGTATACAAAATATATGTTTTCTACATATATTATGTATATATTTACGATAAAATACAGACCGATACAACCAATCTTACTCATAACTACAATATATTTGCACCGCACCAGGAATCGAACCCGCGACCGTGGGAAGTATACCGCTAGACCGCCGAGGCTATCAGGATCTCAGGATAAGGAATGACTTTTATCATATGACGATCCTAGGGTTCAGTATCCTGTTATAACTGATAGAAAAAAATAGCTAATTATTTATAGCTGTTGTTCATAACACAAACTGCTTTTCCTGGGACTAGATAGTGTATAAATTATACAGGGTTGTTGTTATTTATACTGATAATATTTTTCGAGTCTATATACAAATATCTTTTGCCCGCGGCTTCGCTCGCGTCAATTTATCCCCTTAGGGGTGGAATTTATCAAAATCCTTTCTTAGTTGATGCCTACTGTGACTGTAACTGATGACACGCAAGTTTCCTGCTCGTTCTTCTTGTGATGAGCCTGCATTCCAAATGAGTGGTAGAATAAAAAAAATGTGACTATTCGAAAGTGCTTGTATTAAGATTATTTCTATGTCTTTGGACATGCTTGATAGGTGGAGTTCGGCGTTCTGGTGTTGTTCGCGTACAAAGTTGAAGGTTCTGATGAGGAGGTGATTGTGGCCACCACGCGCGTCGAGACGATGCTCGGGGACGTTGCCGTGGCTGTACACCCTAATGATGAAAGGTTAATTTATTAATATTTTTTTTCCAATTTTCCAATCCCATTGATAATTCACAAAATAAATTAAAAACACATTTATTCATGTAGGACATTTTAGCCACTTATGAACGTTAAGTTTTTTGTATCAATATTTTTCCCTACCATCCAGTTTAGTTTACAGATTCAATTCAAAGGGACTGGTAATAAAATCAACTGTTTTTTTTTAAAGCCAGTTTATTTACATTGTGTAATTATATAGGTGTCTATGTCAGACATTAAAAAAAATACCGTTCATGAACAACTATTGCCATACACGTTTCTCATCATATAGCACCATCTAGTTCCACGTTAAGCAGAGCTTGTGTTATTGTTACTAGACAACAGATATAAATATACAGTTACATTTTTTTATAAATACATATAATATATATAGAAAACACCCAGACTGATACAAACAATAATTGCTCATGAATATTTGTACCGTGCGAGGAACCGAACCCGCGACCGATAGATATAAGACGGTGTGCAAAACCGCTAAACCATCGAAGTCGTCAATTTATACTTTATTGCACCAAATACAAATGGCAGTCTTATCGCTAATGCTATCTCTTAGAGACAGACAACCTTTAGAAATAAATTATTTACTACTTAAACTTAAATAAATAGTAAATAAAATAAAAGTACTGTTTATATCAAGAAATATTTACACAAGTACTCTGTATATATTTCTGAGATATGTACTAAAATTTACCATTGATTTACAATTCACAGTCAAAAAAATTCAAAATTCAAAAATCATTTATTCATGTAGGACATTTTAGCCGCTTATGAACGTCAAATTTTTACATTATAATTTTATTTATTCCCTACCGTCCAGTTCGGTATATAGATCCAATTGAGAAGAACTGGCAAGAAACTTAATTGAATGACTTTTTTTTTTGAAAGCCAGTTTATTATAGTCATTTGTGTATAACATTTATTATGAATTATGTACCATTAATAGTATATTAGCACATTTCTTTATAATCTAATCATTGGTATTTTGTATTAAGTTGTAAATCCTTAATAAAATTTCCGTTAGGTAATGATAATTGGATGGAATATAATTCTTTCGTGTACTATTACATTGATAAAGTCTTACAGTAGTTTTTCTTATATATCTTTTATATATAGACAATAATCTGTTACGTTTTTATCATATACTTACTTTTACTCGTGTTGCGTTTTATTTTCATATATATTTCAGGTATAGACAGCAATATGTTCATTTTTATTATATACTAGCAATCTATTACATGTTAGCCTACTTGGGGCACCGGAAATTTAACTTTTTTTTTATTAAAATATATCAAATTTCTAAAACCAATAGGTCCTTATAATACTCATTACCTGTCTGCGAGTGAAAGCCTCAAAATCGATCCAGCCGTTTCAGGGATGACATCCTAATCCTCTGAAATGGTACATAGGTGACGGTTAGCGATTACTATTAGGTCAGCTAGTTTAGAATTTCAAAGTAATAAAAACCATTGTTATAGGTACAAACATCTGATTGGGAAACACTTGGTGCATCCATTCTGCCAGCGAAAGCTTCCAGTCATCGCGGATGATTATGTGGACATCAACTTCGGAACCGGTCAGTGTTGCCCACTACAACTTTTTTATATGGTTGAAAATGTCAACAAAATTTCAAACTAATCATGCATAAGTACACATAAACAAAAAGTATGTGTACATCTATATTATGTTATACAATTAATAATGCTATCTCATATTATGTGTGAGTTACTTGGGTTGTTGCTATTGGATACTTCGATACTGGTTGGATTTTTTGATGATGACGATGAGATGATTACATATACATTACAATATTGTTTTTGCTTTTTGAAGTTACACTTAATATTTTTCAAATACAATCTAGAAAGTGAATACAAATACGAGTATGAACTGTTACAGTAAGTAGTGATATATACATACAGTCAAAACCCTCAAGATTCAAAATGTGATACATTGAAATGGATATGTTACTATTTTCATTTGGTGATTGCTTATATGATAATTTTTAAGATGAAAAGTTTACATTTTCTGTAAGTTCTGTTTAATTTATAAAGTAAAAAGAAAATATAGGATACAAAAGTTTACATTCATTTAGGTGTAAAACTTATTCATACTAGTGGTCGAAATTCGACCATAACTATTTTAAATTATAAGTTTGAACATTAGTAAAGTTCTATTGTCAAAGACTATACGTGTGGCTATGCAAGGGCGGATCCAACTTTGGCGCAAGGATGGGATCTCATAGTCGTGGTCAAGTCAAGAAGTTATAATTTAATTTTGATAACTGTATATACAAGTAAACAATAGATATTTTAAGAATGTACAAAGTTATTATATTATATTAAATTAATTAAATATTGAAGGGATGTAGTTACATAAAATGTGTATGGTGTCGAAATATATAAATAAAATCATTATGTTCAATTAGTGGTCGAACTAAGTCCTGGAATAGAATAGAATAGAATAGAAAATCATTTATTCAAATAAACTTAATTTAAGCACTTTTGAATAGTCATAACAATTTGTTTTTTATCTACCACTCGTTCGGAAAGCTGTCTCATCACAAGAAGAACGAGCAAGAAACTTGTGTGTTGCTCTTTTAAATAATCCTTGTAAGTTTACATTTACAAGTCGAAACGTGTGAATACAAACTACCAACAAGCACTAATTTTTGGGTCAAATATAAATATGCAATAAGGTTAAATCAGTCGTAGTGATAAGAGCAGACCAGTCGCTACAAGCAGCACTCGTTCACGAGTATGACGGATGAGCCAGCCATCACTGCGCTCGACCATATTTTAGGGAGCCCATTGACCCGGCCCACCACGCCGCCACATGTCTGGACATTTTAGTGAGCATGACTACTCATTCCACACGACCACGTCACAGCTATAAAAATTACTATATGGTAGTTACAGTATTCGCACTTTACATAAGGATGCATGCGGCAATCAATACAAAAGCCGCTACGCTATCAAGAAAGCAGTATGAAAATTAAAATTATAACGTTGTCCGCAAATAAACTTATTCTTGCTATATATTGCTATCATCTATAAATTCATCTATCTTATAATAGGCTTTTTTACATAACATTTGTTTAATATAAGATTTGAATTGCCTCTCTGTAAGATTTAGCGTAGACTCTGGCAGTTTATTATAGAATCTTACGCAATTACCATAAAATGAATTACTAACTTTGTGTAGACGGCATTTAGGTAAAATTAGCTTATTTTTATTGCGTAAGTTTCTACTTGTACAGTCTTTAAGTTTCTTGAAACTATCTAAGTTTTTCCTTGTATACATAATATTTTCATAAATGTACTGTGAGGCAACGGAATGACTGCGAACAGAGATGAATGGAAGAGAAAAACATATTACGCCGACCCCAAATAAATGGGATAAGGAAGAAGCAGATGATGATGTACTGTGAGGCAACGGTGAGGATATTTGATTGTTTAAAGCATTGACGTAATGACTCTCTAGAACCCATACCATAAATAGAACGTATGGCTCTCTTTTGTAAAATAAATATAGTATTTATATCGGCAGCTTTACCCCATAGCAGTATGCCATATGACATAATGCTATGGAAATAACTAAAATATACAAGTTTTGCCGTCGCCACGTCTGTTAATTGCCTTATCCTTCTAATTGCATAAGCAGCAGAACTAAGTCTACTGGCTAATTTTGAAATATGGGGCCCCCATTGTAACTTCGAGTCCACTGTTATTCCTAAAAAAACTGTATCATTAACAAAATTTACTATTTCATCATTAAGCAATAGCTGCGTATTTACTTGTTTTACATTAGGCAGCGTGAATTTAATGCACTTAGTTTTGTTGGAGTTCAATAATAGATTATTACATGTGAACCAATTTAGTATAGCAGAGATAGCATAATTTACATCGTCTAATTGATTACATTGGCGACCAATTTTAAACACTAACGAAGTATCATCAAAGAAATTTTATACCCCTACGACCGCGCAATTTTTGTTAAATGAGGTACAAAGTTTTTGCTTCAGATATTAATATTATGATTGGACATGTTTGTCCATCATGTAATTTTATAAATTTAATTTATAAAATTATGTGATATATGTGATGAATATGATTATTTTAATGTTATGGTACAGGTGCTGTAAAGATCACACCGGCACACGATCCAAACGACTACGAGATTGGCAAGCGACACAATTTGCCATTCATCACCATCTTTGATGATGAAGGCAGGATGCTGGACAACTGTGCTCAATTCTCTGTGAGTATATTATAGGCACGACATCTTAGTTCTCTGTAATTGCAACGGATGAGTGGTATCACGGTTGTCACATGATATATGCCTGATATAGGCGATGGTTGGAATAGAACCAGTGTTGCTGTTCACGAATGTAGGCGACGGTTACCACATTACCATCACGTTTTCCATCAGGATGTGGTCAGCTTATTTGCCGTCCAATTACATAAAAATGACTCAGTAAAGCACTACCTTGCTTTAAATGATCTCGAATTTCCATTCTTCGCAAACAATCAAACAAACAAAAAATTTTATATATGTAAAAAATGGTGTATGAGTGTAGTCGTTTATATTGTTCTAGGTGTTTTTAAACATGCATTTATTAAAAATAAAAAAACTAAGACATTATGTATGTATTAAAAAAAAATATATTTAAGTGTTTCTATATTTGTATTGATCTGATTTTTTTAAGCCTGTATCTATGAAACTATGTGTATAGAAAACACTCAGACATTATGTAGGTATATTTACAAAAAAATGTGGTTAAGTATTTCTATAAATTATCTAGTACCAATAACACAAGCTCTGCTTTTATCTCCGATTATTTGTTACCTCATTCAGGGCATGAAACGTTTCGACGTGCGCCGCAATGTGATCAAAGCTCTCGAGGATTTGAAGCTGTACCGCGAGACGAAGAGCAACCCCATGGTTGTGCCGCTGTGCAGCCGCTCCAAGGATGTGGTCGAACCCATGCTCAAGCCACAGTGGTTAGTTGTTAATATATGTATGTTAAAATTACTTGTACATAAAAAATCGCATGTAATGATCCAATTTTAGTTAATATCAATATTGTATTATAATTAATTAAGAGTGTAAAAATATATTAAGTTCAAAGAACCTTACTGTGTAAGCATGACGAGTTGGCTCTTAATAGTAGGAGATTTCTTAGGGACCAACATATATATGCTACCTTACATATATAAAAATGCAGATGAAGTCGCGGTTAGTAATAAGATAATTTTATGTGGACGATGTTTATGCTATTATAAAGTGTGTAAACTAAACGGAAAAGGAACTAATACATGAAAACATCAAATTACGGTTTTGAGTTTCACAGTAAACTTTCCTCAGATCATAAAATCTTTCAGTCGGTCACTATGAAATCATAGGTATTTGTAATGTCACCCTAATTCTCCACAGGTATATAAAATGCGACAAAATGGCAGCTGAAGCTATTAAGGCAGTGAAGAGTGGAGAGTTGAAGATCATTCCGGAAGTGCATGAGAAGATATGGTACCACTGGATGGAGGAGATCCGTGATTGGTGCATCTCCAGGCAGCTGTGGTGGGGCCACCGAATACCGGCCTACCGTGTTATAGCCCCCATACAGGTAACTATTTGATAATATACTAATATTCTTTATTTTATTGTAAATTCAGTAATAATAATTGGGAATAAGGTAGACTTTTCTCTTAATGGCATCTTTTGCAGTCTACCCAACGCAGTTTGACATTTCAATACTTATACAATAATAATTGAAAGTCGGGCACCAGTGGAGATTGATGATGATGAGCATGGGGTCAGTTACCATTGTGACAACTTCAATAGGAACTTATCACAATGGTTTTAGGGGGAACTGGGAATGAATAACTCATTTTAAACTACTTAATTTAAAAAGTCATTCTAAGATTTTTTTTACCATTACTGTCATATATCAAAAGAGAACATATATGTGTATATATATGAAAATTTTATGGAAGAGAATCATCGTTTTGAATATCTAATTCGAACTATAAAAACGCTAACGTGACGAAGCAAAATCGAACTTATTTGTGACTGGATAAGGACGAGGATCGAGTGGATCAAACGAAAACGGCCCCGCGCCGTCGCCGAACGCGCTCCGGTCGTAAGAAGAGCTGCCGAATCCGCGCACGACGGCTGCTGCCCCCAAGCGGTACTACTGTATGTGTATGTTCACCGCCCCCGCCCCCCTCCACCCCGCCACCCCGCACTCGAAGGAGGGTTGTCATTACACTATACCAGCGTTTCTTGAGCTTTTTAAAACCAAAGACTCCTAGAAAATGAAGCACATTTTCAACTCAAAAAACTCCGTTATTTTGAGTCTACACCGATATTGTGACATGTGTTCCGCCTGACGCATCATCAGGCATTTAATAGTTAGGATATAGCTTGGAAGCCTAGTGTTGTCAATCGAGCTTTGGTTCCGAACAGTCAGTAATGATCGGAATTTGATTACCGTTAGAGAAGGTCGTAACGGTAGTCCAGTTTTAAATTATACAAAATATAATAAGTCTATTAAGCAGATATTTCAGTGTCAAATGCAAATATATAATTCTCCATCTAGTGGTAGTCTGATAATATTTTTTTATTGGATCTTAGTACACACATATAGAGTTAATTACAATTAGTATACAATACAAAATGCATACACCATACGATTACACCTGTATGTGTGTGAGCAATACAAATAACTAACCGTTCTAACAATAAGCACTTATTCGATATATTATTCACTGAGCACTCCACACTGAGCTATGACCCATCTTGTATTTCTGTGGCACACAGCAGGTTTACTCCAATACTATTGGACTCTAATTTATTATTTACATTGTTTTATGTTACCAGTATTGTATATTACTTGTAATTAAGCCTATGTGTGTACTAAGATACAAATAAAACTTGTTATCTGTCTATCTATCTATCACTATTGTCGATTTTCCATCTCATTGTGAACTCAAAATGACATGCTCACACATTTCGCTAAGAATATTTTAATCCGACCTTTCAAGAGGACGAATTTATCGCCGTGATTAAGTTTAATTTGTTTTGTCGGAGTTTTCTATCACCGGAGAGTTAGAAATAGAGATAAACATCTACCACTAATGGTAGAAAAACAAGAGAAAAACGGGACACAGAAGAAATTTTGACAAAGCAATACAAGTTTTTTTCAGCTTTAACTGTGTACCAAAGTGCTCGCCAGCGTGCAAAAACGGTTATTGCAAAACGCTAATAGAGTAAAAATCCAGACATAAAGTTTTATGTACAATAAAGTTTAACATAAATAATAGTGTTAATGGCAACCCTCCAGTTCTGCCTCTGTTTCACTGTTCATTTAATATAAGTCGCAACAACATGTAGAATTATTTATAAATAATATTTAACATTTATCATTTAATAGTTTAAAGTTTATTATTAATAAAATCTCATTTAGAATAGAATAGAATGAACATTTATCACATCACAACATGATGCTCAAAGCAGCATATAAATTATTATATCAAAAATTAAATTGTAATAAAAAAATACATTAAATTGGAGATTATTACATTAAAAATAATTTATTCCTAATTTTTGGCAGATGAAATTATAATAAATTCTTATATTTATGTCAACTAATCTATAGTGAACGAATAATTATAATTTTCTCAACTAATAATATTACTATGAGCTGAAATTAAACCTGTAAATAATTTATGAACATACGAGCGACCCGTTTCGATTTCGCACGGATGCATTTCAAGTCTTTGATTTTCTCGGCTTGTTTTATATTATGCTGAAAGATACTGTCTATTGCTGATAATTGCATTAAAATCTTGCGTAATTTCATAAATATAAGCAAACAGACAGCGTGCGGCTACTTTGTTTTATACTATGTAAAGATATTATACCATCTCAAAGGCTACAGGAGTTTATATATAATAATAATGATAATTTCAGAACAATTTTCACAGCGCCATCTAAAGTTAAGCTAGCTAAAGCTTGTATTATGGGTACTAATCAACTGATACAAATATATAGTTTTTTTTCGTAAATACATATTATACACCCAGACAAGCATACTCATCAATATGATATATTTATGCCGTGCGAGAAATCGAACCCGCGACCATCAGAAGTAAAGCGGTGTGCTAAACCTGTAGACTACCGAGGCCGTATATTTTTTTATTAAAAAAAATTTAATATATAATTATTAGTATTAAATGTGGTTGTTTAAGCTAAATAATGTAATACACCTTTTTTTTAACTAATATTGATGTACTTTATATTTTAAATAGTAATAATGCAACCGTTTGAATAACGTTAATACTTTGAATAGTATATATAAACTAGCTGTCCCGGCAATCGTTGTTTTGCCTTAAAATAAAAGTAATTTAGGGGTGGACTACCCCTAACATTAAGGGGAATGAAAAATAGATGTTGGCCGATTCTCAGACCTACTCAATACGCTCACAAAATTTCATGAGAATCGGTCAAGCCGTTTCGGATGAGTATGGGAACGAAAACTATGACACGAGAATTTTATATATAAGATAATGTAATCATTTGTAAGACGTTCAGTTTATAGTCGAGGCAGAACCAAATGCATCAATATCACAATACCCAGGCATGCGTTTTGTTAATTATGTATTTGAGAAATTTCCTGTATTTTTAAATTAAATTAATTAATGTATGTATTTAGCATGATTTTACTAAATGTTTTTCGTATTTTTTACTTTTGTAGCACTTAGTTTTGAGCTATTGAATGTTTTTATTATTTGCTATGCAAAGACAAATTTCCATTAATAATGTTAAGGAATATATGTGTAGACTGTACTAGGGCGTCTGCGTTAGTATCTTTGTTTGACCTATTACAGCCGCCAAACAGCTTGCTTAGGCTTTGAAGCCGTACATTAATGTTTATATAGTAATTTTTAAACAAACTACATATAAAAATTATTGCACCACATTATATAAATCATAAGAACTTCGAATTATTCATTTAGATAATTTTAAATCTCTATGGGTATTATTAAGTTTATATAAGACGAGAGATTAAAAACAGACCACACAAAAATAAATGTCATACCACCATTTATTATCTTGTGTACCTCAAATAATACGTGTAAACCTTTGAGTGACTCTGCCGGAGATGCTAATCGTTCGGAACTCAAGTACAAGTACGATAATTATGGCATACGGTACGCAGATATGTACATTCTCATACAAGTTTGTACGAAATTTTGACCTACGGAAATCGGTCAAAGTAAAATGATGTACTTGATACGAGCACATCCCTTTTTTTTCTTGGGGAAAATCCTCATAAAGACCCGTCCGCCGTAGAGGAGGTAACGAGTACTGCCGGGTCTTACCGACTAAAAACCCCAAGGTGGAACATCTTTTAACAGCACAACCCTGTACAACCCTGAACCCTGCTGTATATGCCAATTACATTACATTAAACTACATTTGCACAATAAACTTATTACTATTATATTATTATTATTATTACGTAAAATTATAATATTAAATAATATATGTTTGTGCACGTCCAATTTTATTGTTTTGCTTTTACCTAATTTTGATGCAATTTAATACTTCATGTGAATAGAGCCTGTAAATTACGTGTGTAGCACTGAATAATCGGGCAATACAAAATTAATGTATATTTTTCTTACTAAATATCTGCAACTTGTATAAAAAAAATGTAAACCGAGAGTTATCCGCTTTTTTTAGATAAACGATGTATATATACCTTCTCTCTTTTAATATCAGTTGTTTAGTCTGGAAAAGTTAAAAAATCAAAAGACAGACATATTTTAGCGTCTTTAATTACTATATAAACCCCGCCAGCGTAAACCTTCAGTGCAGGCGGGTGCACAATATGAATATTATTCATTAATATATATATATATAATTTATTGAGTATGGATGGAGTATGGATAGGCTTTTAGAAGTGCCACGTACGAAATTTAAGGCTTTATAAACTTCAAATTCTCTTTCTATCTTCTATTAACAAATACTTCTCCAAACAGAAAACACAAGAAGAGATCTGGGTATCAGCTCATACGGAAGAAGAGGCTCTCTCCAAAGCTGCTGTCAAATTAGACGTTCCCAAAGATCAAATAAAGCTGGCCAGGGATGAGGATGTATTGGATACGTGGTTTTCATCAGGACTGTTCCCCTTCTCGATCTTCGGGTGGCCTGACCAGACTGAGGATCTTAAGGTCAGTATCTTCCATTAATTTATTTACATATTATATTCTCTTGCAGCTTTCGGCTGTTATGCGGGTAAGAATGTACATATAATATACACACTGTTTCCCGCATGACGTTTCTTCTTTATTATAAAGATAGAAAGCATCTTTCATCTTTCTTTTTATAACAAATAATTATCTCTGCAAAATGGCACACATTTCACTATGCAGTATATGTAGATGTAACTATAGTTTTGTTTGTAATTTATAAAACCTAAATGGAAATCTAAGGAAAATAAAATTTGTAGAATATGAAAATAAAATGTGAATACAATATTTAAAATGTAACAATGTTAAATTAGATTAAAATGTATTATAATTGCATTATAATTGGAATTTAATAAATCGTGATTAAAATATTTAAAATTAATAATATTATTGTCTTATTTTGAATAGATAGATAGAATATACTTTTATTTGCATTATCATATTTAAATTTGTATACAAAATTACGGCCTTATTGTTAAAAGCAGTTCTTTCAATGCATCCTTAGGTAAATGAATATAATTTTAATGTATTACGCATTGCAGGCTTTCTACCCGGGCAGTCTACTGGAGACTGGGCATGATATCTTATTCTTCTGGGTCGCGAGGATGGTATTCTTTGGACAGCGACTGTTGGGCAAGCTGCCATTCAAGTAAGTTGCACAGAGCAATTCGTAGGCATGGCTACGGTGGGGCAGGGCCCACCTTGCCCCACCGTGGCCCGTGAATTGCTCTGAAAAATAATTATCATACTTAATATCCGTAAGTGTGAGTGAGGAGGGCTTGGATACGCGGACAAAACCTGATGCGTAAATATTTACTTACCAATATGGCGTGCTAAGAAAACTTTTACGTGATGATTCGTACAAAGATTACCTTCATTGACGGCCCCGTAGGGTAGGCGAGATAGGTACGTTGGCGTAGTTGTATGGTGTACTCCCATTCCATTAGCATGCTACAAAAATGAACTTTATCAATAAGGGGGGACTGTTGATAATTCAAATCATTATTTTCCTTTCAGAGAGGTATATCTCCACCCGATGGTCCGGGACGCGCACGGCCGTAAAATGTCGAAGTCCTTGGGCAACGTCATCGATCCCGTGGACGTGGTGCGCGGTGTCACTCTGGAACAGCTGCAGGAACAGCTGGCCGAGTCCAACCTCGACCCCAAGGAGATAGAGAAAGCGAAGCAAGGACAGAAGCAGGACTATCCCAATGGGATACCCGAGTGTGGAACTGACGCTTTACGGTGAGTTATATCTACCAAGTTGTTTATCACCACCAGAGACTAATATCTAATAGAATAGAAAATCCTTTATTCAAATAAACTTCATTTAAGCATCGGTAACTAATAACTAACTAACAAACTAATAACTCATTCGGAAAGATGTCACATCACAAGAAGAACGAGCATGAAACTTGTGTGTTGCTCTTTTAAATAATCCTTGTAAGTTCACATTTTACAAGTCGAAATGTGTGAATACAAACTACCGGATAATATCAGTAGTATCAGTATTAAGCAGAGGAATGCCGAAAAAGAGATGGATGGACTGTGTGAAAGATGATATGGTAAGAAAGGAAGTAAATAACGCGATGACTGCGAACAGGGATGAATGGAAGAGAAAAATATATTACGCCGACCACGAATAAATGGGATAAGGGAAAAGATAATGTACTGGAAACTGTATTGGAATGTATAATTGTTTATGTAACTGTAGTTCTTCTATTGGTTTGTGTAATGTTTTGGATATAAACTATAACTAACTAACTGTGGATGATATTATTATTAGTATTATTGTTTATGGTTATTAGTTATTACCCTGGCCACATATTTGTTAAGAATCTATGGTTATTACGCCCCACCGACTTTGGAAATTCGTCAATACGGATTGACACACGCCAACTCGGAAATGTGAGGCCAGCCTTATAAATTGACTTATGGTAATCTCATCCGCCAGGTTCGCCCTATGTGCAATGACTCAAGGTCGAGATTTGAACCTGGACATTCTTCGTGTGCAAGGTTATCGTTTCTTCTGCAACAAACTGTGGAACGCAACCAAGTTCGCGCTAATGTACTTCCCGCAAGACACCACTTACCAGGTAATGTAACTTAGAATTTATTTACTCAATTAGAATTGTTACATTTATATCCATTTTTGAAAGGTTTATGCATTATATGTTTGTTATAAATAAAAAAAATTTAAACACTCATGCAATATTTTTATTATGTATGTAATAATCAACTACGAAGTACAACTAGAATGAAGAGTTCAAAATTGATTTTCTAAAATTCCACTTTGTTATTTAGGAAAATGGTTCAATTTACAATGCTCCTGACTACCACATTTATAACGACAATGTACAGGGTTGAAAAGCTAATGATAGTATCACTGAATAATTTTTTTAAGTAAAATAAATTAAAGTGGAAAATCGAAAGTAATATTACAATCTTTTTTCTTTACACACATTTGTATTCTTGTGTATGATTGTTTTTATTAATATGGGTGCATGTATTTACAAAAATTATATATTTAAGTATTTCTTTCAATTGTCTAGGACCCACAACACAGGTTCTTGCGATTAGACGGCTTTCTGTCAATTGTACTGAGATATTATTATTTCTTATTGATCGGCAGGTCCACGAGCCGACGTTACCAGATGATCTCTCCCTAATGGACCGGTGGATGTTGTCTCGGCTGTCGCTGGCCGTGAGCCGCGTGAACGCTGGCTTTAAGGCGTACGAGTTCCCGTCAGCGACCACGCACTGCTACAACCTCTGGTTATACGACCTCTGTGATGTTTACTTGGTTAGTTCATTGATTTTTATTTTTTTATATGCTTTATTGCACCAATTACAGAAAAAAAAGTACATTAACTGCAACAAAAGGCAGTCTTATTACTAAACAATCTCTTCCAGACTACCTTTTTTGGGTGGATAGAGAAAGTAAAAATAAGAAAATATGTATTTATAAGTTTAAAGATATTCAAAATCAAATTTATGCACTTTAGCCGCATTGCTCTGAAATCGAAGAGCTTTGGGGGCTAAGTCCGTCTATATTACGTTTAATTGCAGTTTTTATTATATTAAAAATAATTAATTAACAAATAATTAATGGTGTTGTCACGACGGTTCATTCTCCAGGAGTACCTAAAGCCAATATTCGCCCAAGGCACCGAACAACAAAAGGCGGCGGCGCGGCGCACCCTGTATACCACGCTGGAGTACGGTCTGAAGCTGCTGAGCCCCTTCATGCCGTTCGTCACCGAGGAGTTGTACCAGCGACTGCCCAGAAGCGATACCAGCTGTCCGTCTATATGTGTGGCCAGTTATCCCACTGTGAGTTATAATAGATTCTATAAACTATAATCTCAGGACATTTCACACAGCGCCATCTAGACCCAAGTTACGCTAGCTAAAGCTTGTGTTATGGGTACTAGACAACTGATAGAAATATATAGACTTTTATGACTTTTATCCTCTGAAATCGAGTGACCGTCCTCCCTCTGAAGTCTGCTGCCCCTAGGACGCTCTCGCCCTAGACCGCGGCCTATATGGCCTATTTATAAATCCAGGACTGATTCCCTGCGCAGTCAAGTAATATTGTCAGGTAATTATATAACTAAAACCATATAATCTTGTATAACTTTATCTTTAAGTATACATGGATAGTTCAGGGATATTATTATGACGATATTGACGACCTCGGTGGTCTAGTGGTTTAGCACACCGCTTTACGTCCGATGGTCGCGGGTTCGATTCCTCGCACGGCACAAACATTTGTATTCATGAGTATAATTGTTTGTGTCGGTCTGGGTGTTTTCTATGTATAATATGTATGTTTTAACGAAAAAAAAATAATATCTATGTATTTGCATCAGTTGTCTAGTACCCATAACACAAGCTTTAGCTAGCTTAACTTGGGACTAGATGGCGCTGTGTGAATTGTCCTGAGATTATTATTATTATTATTATTGTATTCCCCTCTTCCTACTAAAAGTGAATAATCCTATATTACAATTATTAAAGTTTTGTTTAACTCTTTACAGGACGCAGAGTCGCCATGGCGTTCAGAAGATCTCGAATCTGCTGTGGACTCTGTAATGAAGATGGTTCATCTCATCCGATCGACTCGCTCCGAGTACAACATCACCAACAAGCAGAAGACCACCGTCCACCTCATTATCTCGGATCCTAGAGCCGAACAACTGAAGAATTTGTTCAATAATCTCCAGTCGCTGGCCAATAGTGAACTCTCCGATGAGCAGCCTCCGACTGGTTGTTCTATTTTAACTGTGTCAGATAAGATTGAAGTACATTTGGTTCTGAAGGTGAGTTGTTGTTTTAAAGTTGTATAGACTCTAAAAAGGATTTCATGTGTATTTTCATTTCTGCAGTAAGTTGATATGTTATTTTTTATTTATGTATATTATTCTATTTCTTTAGCATATTTAAGGGTTCTTGCAATTAACTTTTATTAATAAAAATTATAATGTGTAGTAAACGCAATGGTGTAAAAATATGTAAGAAAATGTAAATTATAGAGTATACTTTTACATCTAACCAAAAAAAATATATATACTATTCCATTCTGACAGATACTTTTCCATTCTTAAGGTATATATTGTATGTGTATATTTATAGCAATGATTCACGGCGCTATACACAATATGAAGTAGGAATAATTTTAATGTATTTTCAGAGATAATTTTAATCTCTTAGTATATAATAATAATAATAAACTTTTAAACTCATCCACGCTTGGCTAAGGCCCGCGTGTTTGAATATATTACCCCTGTAAAAAGGGAGATATATAAAATAATAATAAACCTTATTGGGCTTTATTGGCCAACTTTTACATTTAATACACATTATGGCAAACCACACACTACACATGCAAGTCTGTATCGTGTGGTTCAAAGGATATCATTAGACAGAATTGATATGTTAGGTGCTTGGCTGACATTAATGAAATAACTTAACAATATCATGCAACACTTAGTATTTACTTTTAATTGTAGTTTAAATATATATAGTACTTCCACTTCAGCCACAGCATAGAAAGTCGTCCAATATATGTAACACTTGTCTTTTTACAGGGTTTGATTGATCCCCAAAAAGAAATAACAAAACTGGAGAAGAAGAAGGAAACATTATTTCAAACTATAAATAAGTTACAACAAGCAATAGCAGCCGAGGACTACACCACTAAAGTACCTATAGAGGTACAAAAGAATAACACTGAGAAGTTGTCGCAGTCACAGGGCGAGATCCAGAGATTAGAAAAAGCTATAGAAACGCTAAGAATTATGTAAAATCAGAATTATTTATTGTATTATACTAGTAAGTAGCAAAATGTCGACTATTTCAATGTTCACTGACCATTATAAGGTTTGATTTTGTTTGGGATCATCCATAAATTAAGGTCACTATTTTTGCCCCCCCCATTCTTGTTCTAGCTGGTCTCTTCCCTAATGCAACGTCACATATTTTACAAAACCTCTAATAATATTATACCCCCTCCAATCGATCCCCCGTCCAATTCAAACGGGGATCGAATTTCGAAATCGAATTAACGGCCCGAGCTGAAGTGCGGTGCCCTCAGACTAAAGTCATATCCATCAGGCGGGAGTTGGCCTTCAGCCGCTCCATAAGTCCTTCCGTGAGTTTGGAGTGCCATCTGCACTCGTCCCCATATCCTCCGATTAAGTATTAAAGGCCAGCTATTAGAGTATACACAGCATTAGAGTAGTCCGAAAAGAAATCTGATATACGATTCATAAAATGACAAACGAACTACAGTTTCTACATTATCTGTTTACATTTTAAAATATAGATTAATAAAATGTAGTAATTTGACTTTTACTTGATCGAATTAATCTTCTCTTAATTTGTGATATGAATTATGGATGACCACTTTCTGGAATAATTTCCTTATATACTATTGTTTGAATATTCAAACCATAAACTTTTACACACAAAAATGTATCTTGTTACTAGTGTATTAAAACACACTCTTAAGTGCAGAAGAAACATATTTATTTTGGTGGATTATTTGTCACTAACTGAATTAATTAATGTGTGTATATTTTGTTAAAAGTATGTAGTTCTTAAGCACATTTTTAAATCAACAATTGAATGTGGTGTTATGACGTTTTTTCTAAATTAATAGAGGAGCAATGTGCAGGCACTATCCTCTGAGTATTATATTTAAAAAAAATAAAAGTAAAATTTTCATAAATATAGCAGAATTGTAATTTGTCCTTTGCACTTATATAATACTGTTGTAGTTTTATAATTTTGATACCTCTTAGTAATCATAGTATCTATTTATTTGTTTTTTACGCAATAAAATAGCTTGTTTAATTATTTGGATTTATAATTTTGACTATCCGTCGACAACGTAGTTGCAATTCCCCTAGTGTTGTGGTCCTCATGAGTGGTGGAAATCACATACCTTCGGAGGGAAGATGATTGTTAGTAATGTGCATAAACCCATTGCTAGCAATATACCATATTAGGTTGACCTCCACTTGGTTTCCCCTGGAAACCATTGTGGTAAATTATCAGTTGCCAAGATGGTGTATATATATATATATATATATATATATATATTTTTTTATTGATGCCCTATTTTCGAACCTAAGTACAATTACGATTAATTAATATATATATATCGGGTTACCTGCACTGCCCAGTACTGTGGCGACCACACCAGTAAACAAGATAGCAGCGATGAAACGTGATCGGAAATCATACGAACAGTATTCAGTGTTCCTTTGCAACTATATTCGATAGCCCGGAATGTTCTGTCGACATAAACTGCAACCTAATTAACTTCATTAGACAAAAATAAGGAGTTTATTCAGCGTGAGGTGAATAAAGCTGCAGTTTGAGGCGAAGTGTGTTTATGACACTATTATACAGCTTTTATTCCAAGTTTGCTTTCTATGAAAAGCAGGCTGCTATTTATGATTTTATAAGAAGACCTACTGAAATTGTTCAAAATATAATGACGTTTGAGATTTGAGAGAAATTAAGACTATATGAGGTTTTTGAATTCTTCATACGAGGGTATTTGTGAAAGTCGGTTTCATTTTGGTTCGGTTTTTCGCTCAAGGAAAGGCAAAAGCACTTAGCCCATGCGGCCATTGTATTTGGTATTATTCTCATGTTATATTTTCTCAGAATTATTGTTTTCACAATTCATATCTCTTCTAAGGTTCATATTATATAGTCAAATATACATTTGTAAGAAACTTACAAATGTTTATTGTATTTGGATTCTTCAATAAATTGCAGCGCGGTTTAAGGTTAGGTTAGATTGACGTAAACATATTGAATGACTGTTATTACTGACGATTTACACCTCTAGTCAGAAATACTGACTCAGTACTGCTGTCAGAAGCAAAAACAAAAAGTAATGTAATTTAAACTTAAGTATGTAATAAATCTATTAAATATAATATTATATATCAGTTACTATTGAGATTGCATAATTCGGTTTTTCAGATCCGCGAGGAGAATGCTATATGTGATTTATTAATATATACATTTAAAATATTTGACTAATAATATTACTAAAATGGAATTTCCAACTCTTGGTGAACACTGCCAGTACTCCAACTGCAATCAGACTGATTTCCTGCCGCTGCAGTGTAAATGTGGTAAGGTATTCTGCCGAGAACATTTCAACACTCATTGTCTGTCTAAATCTTGCGAATTGGCGCCAGAACCTAAAACTGTTAATTTAAAAAGCGATGACCAAATATTCAAATGTTCAGAAAAGGGCTGCAGAAAAGGAAATTTGCATGAAATGAAATGTTTGAAATGCAATAAACATTATTGTATTGAACACAGGTTTCATCCGTAAGTATTATTTATTAGAGTAAGACAATTTTGTTTACATTATTAGTATGCCAAAACTGATGGCCCATCTTCAGATGACCTTGTTTGGCCAGCGGGAAAATGTCGCCTATAGTAAACTGCACTATAGACATCACATCCTGTGTAGCACTGGGAACGGGATTGTTAGTAAAGTGGACTGTAAATCACATAACTAGTAATGTATTTTATCTAGTTCACCTCCACATGGTTCCCCTGGAAACCACGATGGGCTAACTAACCTTACCTCATACTCATCATCCTCTACTGGTGCCCTACTATTGTAAACCGTTAGAGTGGGCGAGAACACCATTCCATTAACATTCATGAGAAAAAAATGCCTGTGTTGCCATATATGAGTTACCATTCCAGAATATGAGATGTCATGCCGTCTGTTTTTATTTTTATTTTATTTATTTATTTATTTGTACACATTACATTAATGGTTGTAGACAAGACATTTAACAGCAATCCCTGCACTAAGCTCAAGGCTTGTGTCGCAGGAATCAGAAATACAAAAACATTAACCTAAAACAGGCTCCAGTTCAATTTATGTAATTGGAATGGCCAATAGTTTACTATTATCACCTGTTAGTAAGGGGTAGTGGTTGTAATATCTGTGGTGACATTCATAACAATTCACACAGCGCCAGCTACTCTCAAGGTAAATAAAGCCTGTGTTATGGGTACTAAACAACTGATATAAATACTTATATATTTTTTTGTAAATACATCATATAACCAACACCCAGAGGATTCATATTTTTAAGTATAGCTATACCTATGACCCTGAATTACATAAAAGATATAAATGTGACAACAGCCTGAATAGCCCACTCGGGTAGTTGTCATGTAATATATAGTGTGTAACCTTACTATTTATATATTTAATTGTATTATTACATTTGCAGTACATGCCCTGAAATAGATGATGAGACAATGGCAATAAAAGTAGAACAATTTGAAGCTCCAAGAAGGCAGTTTGCAGAAGCCAATAAACATTTACAAGAAAAGGTATTTAGCCAGAATTTAGCTGTTACTCGCATTCTCAAACAATATAACTTATTTTATTAAAAAAAATAAAAATTCTATAATACAAGTTATAAGTACTACTTGTACAGTACAGTACTACTCTTTGTAACATTAGCTATCTGGGGATGGAAGTCTCGGGAATCATGATGGAGTAACTTTTATTTAAAAAAATTTACTTAAAAAAAACGGTTTAATTTAATCACCGGAAGTCACCGGAAACAGCTAGTGGTAAATACATTATATCCTGTATCTTATATTATTTGTATATTTACAGATAACAGAAAACATCCGAAAGGCCCTCCAATCTTCAGCAAAAGTGAAGACGGCATCAAAAATACATCTGATGAGAATAAAACAAAAGGCCACTGGACCTAAAACCGTACCGGTTTCAGATAGAGTTTATTTTGCTGTGGCAAAACCCAAGAGTATGGATCCGAAAGCAGTTAACATAATCCAGGATGCTGAAAATTTAAGTAATATTGAATCAGTGTCTTTAGATCCCGATTTAAAAGACACCGTACCTCTCTTTATAAGTACTAAATGGAGTTTAGGTCGCGCAATTGACAGTATTTGTGATTCATGTAATATTAAGAATGATAATAACAAAATGGGTAACACAAAGCTAAGATTATTCAGGCAGTTAGACAGTTACTGCGTAAGTCCTTTGAAAATGGATACAGAAATTGGACATTTGATGCAAAAGGAAATTTTGCTTGAAGGAGATAAGTTACTTATTGAATATATTGATAGTGGTGTTTTAAACAATTTAGATGAAAATAGTCAGTTATTTTTGAGTTGACGGATTTTGAAATTGATTAATAATAATAAACAATTCATTCACACAGCGCCATCTAGTCCCAAGCTAAACAGAGCTTGTGTTATATGTACCTGACAACTGATATGAATATATAGATTCATTTCTTTTGTAAATACATACATATACCTAGAAAATACCCATACTGATACTCATACTCATGAATACAAATGTTTGCACCGTGCGTGGAATGGAATCCGCAACCATCGGAGGAAAAGCGGTGAGGTTTAGCACCATAAACGCTAGACCATCGAAACCGTCATAATGTTTTGATTCAAATGTGAATTTATATATAAATAAAATATATACGATATCTCTTAATAGTTTTAATATTTTGCTCGTCTGCTCTTCGTCTAGAGACGTTTTTCATGCTTATCCATAGTCAGATAGTATGTACCCATAGGTCAATGTGAACATTACAAAGTGTATACGATTTGGAAATTATAATTGGATTATATTATTATACAATTATATACATAAACTTCAATTAAAATACCATTCTGATCATCAGGCGGTAACGGTCCTTTACCATGCGATTTTCTAGAAATATTTTGCAATGCACAAGAATATTGTGGAATCACCTTCCAGCAACGGTGTTTCCGAACCGATACGATTTTGAAATCTTCAAGAAAAGAGCTTATTCCTTCTTAAAAGGTCGGCAAAGCACTTGCGATTTCCCTGGTGTTGCGGTTGCTCATGGATGGCGGTTATCACTTACCATCAGGTGAGCCGCAAGCTCGTTTGTCCCCTATGCTATAAAAATATACCTAAACACATGGGCAATAAAACAAAAATATAATAAATAGTTGTATAATTCTAATAATAATGTCGTAAACCTACAATATAAAATTAAATTGCAATATCCCCGTTGCCTTTGCTAATTTGAGACTGAGTTCTCTGATAGTCTACCAGCGGGAGCAGCGCTGGTGCTGAGGGGTTCGTCTGAGCGGTAGGAGGCGGCGTCGCAGCCAACTTGTACCTGTCTACCAACCAATTGCACTTTCCAGTCCTCGCCACAAGCGTCATAAAGTCTCTACGATACTGTTTCGTGAGAATCGCGTACAAGAACGGATTCGCACAAGCGTTTAATGGATAAAAAAACACTAATAACACTTTCCCGTGGCTCACGTCCACTAACGGCACCCCGGCTAGAGCGGTGACGCCGAAAAACGCCACTGGAGCCCAACAAAGCAGGTCCGTTCCGATTAGCAACGCCATTTTGTTTGCTATTTTCCGCTCTGCTGCCGCTGCTGATCCTCTCCCTCCATACTTCTCCCCCCCACCTCCCAAAGATCTGTATATTTGCACGTAACATATCACTATTGTCACCCAAGCTATAGCGTTGGTCATGAACAAAGATCCCTGATACACAGCGTCCCCGATGTCCTTACTTTCGACTGGAAGGCATATGGAGGTTGATGAATAGTCCGAGACACCAGCTAGAGGCAGCCCAGCCATAAGAATGGAGAACATCCACCCTCCTATCATTATTTTGGATGCTGCACTCAATGAGATTCGTCTCTCCAGATATATAGCGTAGGTTATCGCGAACCAGCGTTCTAAAGTCACTATAGTTAATGTGAATACTGATAACTGGCCTGATAATACTGATAAGAAACCGGCAATCTTGCAGCCAACACCGTATTGCCAATTGTAAGCGTAGTTGAAGAATTCCCCGTAAGATCTAAGATCGACGACGGCTAACATGAAGAGGTAGATGCCGGTGCACAGATCGGAGAAAGCGAGATGGCACATGAGGAACCTGGGGACGGTCAGCTCAGTGTGGTTCGTGAGTAGAACCAGGAGTACAGCTATGTTGCCCACCACGGCTGCAGTGACCACCAGCCACACGGAGGCGCGTAACCAAGTCCAGCCCATTACGTCTTCGCAAGGATTTAAAGCGTCGGGTAGCGGCGTGCACTCCACTTCGCGACGACTGCAACAATATATGTATGTCAGTACACTTATGATAATGTAAGAATCGATTTTTTTTCATCAACCAACATCCGAGAAGGAGAAGGCTCTTAATGCGCTAGTCTAACATGAATATGGAGCTACAGTACGACCGTACATCTTAATAATATTATAAACGCGAAAGTTTGTGAGTATGGATAGATGGATGTTTGTTACTCTTACACGCAAAAACTACTGAACGGATTTTAGTGAAACTTTACAGTAATATAGTTTATGCAACAGAATAACACATAGGCTATATTTTATATTGAAATTGATGTATTGAAAATTAACATGGGTTAAATATGTATGTCAGTACACTTATGATAATGTAAGAATCGATTTTTTTTCATCAACCAACATCCGAGAAGGAGAAGGCTCTTAATGTGCTAGTCTAACATGAATATGGAGCTACAGTACGACCGTACATCTTAATAATATTATAAACGCGAAAGTTTGTGAGTATGGATAGATGGATGTTTGTTACTCTTACACGCAAAAACTACTGAACGGATTTTAGTGAAACTTTACAGTAATATTGTTTATGCATCAGAATAACACATGGTCTATATTTTATATTGAAAATTAACATAGGTGAAAGGCAAGCACAGCTAGTAAATTATAAGTTAAGAAATATAAATATTAAACATATATATTATACAAATATAAAAGAATAACATGTAAGAAAGAAACTGTATATAAGAAAATAATACACAAAACTTTATACTTCGTAATAGCCTTTAAAAAATACAAATAGAGAAAGTAATAAAAGATAAAAAGTAATAAAGATACTCGTAGTGATACGTACGGTGCTTTTTATATATTTTAATAGAAGTAATAAAATAATTATATATACATATATAGGTACTATAACACTCGCTCTTTGGGAATCAAGAAATTGTTTAAGCCAAGCATAATGTCGCCAACCGCCTTGCATGATATGAATCCTTTATCGCAAGTATCAATATTAGTCCACTAAAATTTTAAATTAAACAGTAAAATTTTAGTTTTACCGGACTTTTTTTCAGTTTTGGCGCAATACGTGAATGATAATATTCAAGCATAAATTTTTGATTTAAGTTGACGGGACGGAAAGGGTTGAAAATTGATTTTTTTTCAAAATCACTCGATAACGGTAAGAAATATGAAATAATGTTATAATAAACCAGACCAGATTTTTATTCTATACAACTTTTATTAAAAACATTTTATTTATTTTTTATGTAATAATAAAAAAATATTTTTTAATAAAAGTTGTAGAGAATAAAAATCTGGTCCTTCTCATTTTTTCATTATCTGCTGTTCTTTAGCTACAAAAATTAACTGTTACTATTTAACACAAAAAAGGTTATTAGAGAATTTTTCTAAAATAAAAGTGGCCAATAAGTTACTCCTTATTACATGATGTACTGTTCTTATATTCATATGCATGTAGTAAAAAACGATTATTTCGATATTACAAACAAGAAGAAGAAGACACTCCAACTCAATTTTATTTATATGTATAGATATAGATAGTATAGTGATAGATAGATATATAGATATAGAATAGTATAGTATAGATATAATAGTATATAACATTAGTAAATATAAAATACAACTTAATAAGGTTAGAGCGGAGCCTATAGCCTATAGCAACCTATTCCAAGAGCCCTACGATTTCTTCCGATTCTTAATTTATGAGTTTTTTAAAAATGAATACTTACAAATGACAACAATTACTTTAATCAGTTTAATCCTGACAAATTTGACAATAACATACTTAATCTCTTTTGTTTTTTTTATTGTTGTGTGTGCCTTTATATACGTATAATTCGCTACTCTTGGGCATATAGTCTTAGGAAATCTGGTACCCCAAATTTCAAATGTATTTACTCGTATTTATTAAGAAAATAATACAGTATTACATCTTACAAAACAATCGATTTAAATAAATATATACACATTCAAATTGTTTTCACATGTAGAATTATAAGGTAAGCGAACCTCAAACTTAAGTTTCCACATTTAGCCTCGTACCCATTGGTCAGGTTACTGTTGACCAACTCGTGGAAATTCTCCATGAACTCCTCATTGCTGTCGGAGTACGCCTGGTCGTCCTCATCGAAGGTGCTAAACACTTCGCCCGACGTTGATGCTGACATATCTTCATCTGTTGGCCTGTAAAACGTAGGTTTTTGTAGGTGCTCTCTCAACTCACTCGCCATCTAGCCCCAAGCTAAGCAGAACTTGTTTTATGGGTACGATTCCTTGTTACTAATAACCCAATAAATTATTGACAGTCACTTATCGGAACGAAATCTTTCCTAATTTAAGGTCTACCAAATATCAGATACAGTGAGAGATAATTTCATAGAAATTGGCCATCATTTCTGAGGTTACGTTAGTAATCCGTTTCCGGAAGAATGGTGTGACGCAAACTTTTTATTTAAAAGAAATCAATATTCAATACCAGAATATTTCTATCATAAATTTATTATATTAGCCCTAAACTTTTAAAAGAAATTAAAGTATTAAAAAAAAATATTGATAATGGTTAACTGATTTTATAAATAGACAAATGCTTATGCTATTTACAAAAACAATTAAATTCAATTTTTACAATTCTTCTTAAAACTTCTCTTCTATCTCTTCCATATCTATGCTTTGTGAATAGACAAATAGAAATAATCTTTATACCATGTGCACTGTAACATGGTGCGGTTGACAGTTTCAGTATCGTTTCGTTTCACTCTTGAAAGTCACCGCGGTTTACAAATTATGATTAAGTATTTCAGCTGTACCACATTCGTAATATATTAATATTTATAATAATAATAATAATCGTGTGGAAAAAAACCAGCAGAAGCTGAGAGAGTGAGGCGATAGTGATAATAATAATAATAATAAATCCATTTATTGCCAATATTAGTACAATAATAATTATAAATTACTGTAGTAACTTAAATTGCACTCAGCCAGAACCTTCTAGTCTACAAACACAGGCAACTGTCACCCGCACCAGAGTACATAATAGATTTAATCTTTGAACATCTACTGAAATGCAAATTTAGACAAAAAGAATGGACAAGAAACATGACTCTTTATGGCACAATTCTTAAAATAGTTAAAATTCGAAGCACCGGTTGGCACCGTGATCTAAAAAATACTTACTCTAGAGCTTCATTGCTGTTTTCATTCAACTGAACAGACCTGATGGGTTGCAACGACCTTCTTCTTCTTGAGATTGTGATCTGCTCGGCGCCTTGACATTGCTAAAACAATTTCTTCTAAAGTTGTATATAATCTACTCACGAGTTTATTTAATAATAATAATAAAACTTTATTGGGCACTGAAAATGTAAGTACAAAAATAACACTGCATATATATGACCAACAAATGACTGGCTTATTTTGTAAAGTAGTCTCTTACAAATGACCTTGTATATATGTAGGTATAAGGTATAATATAATATAATAGCTTCAATTGTAGATATACATATATACCGGCTTGTAAAATACGGTGTAAATTAGAAAATTGAGAGCTATTATATCGCGATCTATTGATTACCACCCCGACATATAAGCATCATAAATTTAAAAAAATTAATGCTAATATATATTTTTAACTTCCTCTCCACAATATATTAGTTATGTGGACATTTGTGCCTATTACTAAAACGGAAACTGAAGGAACGGAAGAAATCCCTCTTAAGGAAGTTCACCACCGTTCTAATTTATTTTATCTTTAAGTTTTATTGTACAACTAGTTGTCCGCCTCGGCTTCGCACAAATGTACATATACTGTACATATAAACATTCCTCTTGAATTAATTTATCTATTACTGAAAACTGCATTAAAATCCGTTGCACATAAATATAGTTTAAAACATCTAAGCGAACAGTTGGGAGCGACTTAAAAGTATCTATTACTAACAAACTTATGAGAGGGCACAAGTTTGTTAAAGATCTAATTTAATTTATTTATTAATGATTTATTTATTCATTTGTCATTATTATTATTATGTTTTTTTTTCTCTCCTATTCTAGTGCCACCTCCCACCTTTTGTTTTTTCTCCTCTACCCAAAGGTTGCCTGGAAGAGATTGCATAAGCGATAAGGTCGCCTTTTGTACCCTTTTATTTTAATTACTCTATTAATGTAATTTTTCCTGGTGCAATAAAGAGTATATAAATAAATAAATAAATGATTTTAAATTCCCCGATTTATCTATCACTGAATACTGCATTAAAATCCGTTGCGTAGTTTAAAAGACCTAAGCCACTTAAAAGTATTTATTACAAACAAACTTGTGAGAGGGCACAAGTTTGTTAAAGATCTAATTTTATTTATGTATTAATGATTTAAAATTCCCCGATTTATCTATCACTGAATACTGTATTAAAATCCGTTGCGTAGTTTAAAAGACCTAAGTCACTTAAAAGTATTTATTACAAACAAACTTGTGAGAGGGCACAAGTTTGTTAAAGATCTAATTTTATTTATGTATTAATGATTTAAAATTCCCCGATTTATCTATCACTGAATACTGTATTAAAATCCGTTGCGTAGTTTAAAAGACCTAAGTCACTTAAAAGTACCTATTACAAACAAACTTGTGCCCTCCAACAAACTTCTCCCCATTTAAAGATTTAAAATTCTCCGATTTATCTATCACTGAAAACTGCATTAAAATCCGTCGCATATAGGTATTGTTTAAAAGATGTAAGTAAACAGACGGGGCATCTTAAAAGTCCCTATAACAAACAAACTAGTGCCCTCTCCCCAATTAAAGATTTAAAATTCCCCGATAAAAGATTATTAAAACCACAGATAACATCATCATCATTGCCTTGCCTTTATCCCATTATTGGGGTCGGCGCAGTATGTCATTCTCTTCCACTGCTCTCTATCTGTCGTCATATCTAAACATACTCTTCTTTTATTCATATCATCTTTCACACAATCCATCCATCTTTTCTTAGGGCGTTCCCTCCCTTTACATCCATCCACATTCATAATAACATAATATTACATATTAGAACTCACTTTTGCCATCAGAGCGATTTGCGTCTCGTAAGTCTTGTGCCTAGCGGGGTCGTGCCTCTCGGGGAACGCGAAAGCACAGCAGTGGAAATGATGCGTCAGGTATGCTTTCTCCAAGTGCTGTCAATGAGAAATGTCTGCTTATAATTGAATCCGAATCATTACATAGTATAAAACAAAGATACTGTCGCTGTCTGTCGGTCCCTATATATGCTTAATATTTTACACTACGCAAAATGTTTAATTATTAAATATAATAATTCGTAATTTTTAAGCTAACTTTTTCTGAATAGATAATTTAAAAAAATAATTTTTTTCTTTGATTGTAATTGTATATTTGATTGTAATATTTGTTAATTGACCTAATAATCCGATGTCCCGTTTTGAGTCGAAAAATATATGATCACGTTATATATACGTGACTTTTCATGCAGTGAATTCACAAACCTGAAACTCGTAAATGGATGGGATATACTTCAAAGTGGGCGTCTTCTCTATTCTGAGTATTTGCAATTTCTGCAGTCCGTCCGTTGGGAGGCTGGTGATCGCTGTGTTACTGAGGTCTCTGGAATAACAAAATAAAAAAAATGCAAATTTTTTTTCATAACTTAACCTTAACACGATTTCAAACTAATAATTACCTACTACTATTATCTAATCTTTGATACTAACACTAACAACTACTACTACTAACTTTTAATTAATACTAGCTGTTCCCGCGACTTTTTCCGCGTTGAATTTAACTTTATTTTTCTAAAATAAAAGTTAAGCCTAAGTTAACCCTTATTACATCAGCTACCTGCCAAAAAAAGTCCCGTCAAAATCGGTCCAGCCAATTTAGAGATTAGCCGGAACAAACAGACAGACAAAAATTGTAAAAAATGTTTGTTTGGTTTATTACGGTTATTTCAATATTACGAACAGACACTTTATTTATATGTATAGATAAAAAAAAGAAATGCTTAAAACTTACAACTGACGCAGTAACAGGTTCCCAGAGAATGCCTTGTCGTCCAATTTACGTAACTTGGTGTTCCCTCTGAAGCTTCTGCAAAATAAATAGATTTTTATAAACGTCTAAAAGTATATAATTTTGAATATATGTATATTTTATGTTTATTTTCTATTTTTTTTACATATTAATAGTAAAACAATATTTATTACTAGTATTTACATAACCTAATTGTACAACTAAGAACCTAAAATTAAAAAACTTAAAAAAAAATATGATGACTAAAATATATTATAAAATTTTCTATTTTATTTTTATAACCATCTGATCTACTTAGTGGCCTACTATCTCGAGCTCGTGTAATAAGTTCTAAAAACTAAGTATTATTTCTACATCAATTTGTATATGTATCACACTTATTACATATTTATGCGGGAATCGAGCAATTCTTTTTATTTTATATATTAAGCAGTTCTCTTGTTTAAAGCGAAACACGTTGCAATAGGGGTATACATTAAATAACGGTCGGAAATTGATCTATCAGTAAAGGATATATCCGTTACTAGCATAAATATTTTTTGCTTGGTGTACCATTTACCATTACTTATCCTGTGAATATTATAAAAAAAACTTACAGTTTGGATATTTCAGCGTATTTGAATGCATAAGCTGGCACTTCCTCGATCAGATTGTAGTTCAGAGACCTGTAGTTTAAATGTAGACCTTAGTTAAGTTAAAATATGTGTCAATTTCCAATGCGCGCTTTTTACATCATTACATAGTATAAAATAAAGTCACTGTCGCTGTCTGTCCGTCCCTATGTATGCTTAAATCTTTAAAACTACGCGGATTTTGAAGCGGTTTCTTAAAAATAGATAGAGTGATTCAAGAGGAAGGTTTATATATATGATGCATGTACATCTGTGCGAAGGCGGGGCGAGTAGCTAGTAAAAATATGTCATTAAAAACATGGAGAGTTGACGTACGAAAATTTTATTGCATCGCATAAACTGACTGGCGGTGTTACTTCTTTATCACATAGTGTTCATTTAAAATAAATATTTTTTTCTATTTGTACGGCTCTTAAGGTCTGCAGTGTGATGTTAAATTCTTACTAATAATATAAATTCAAAAGTGTCCGTCTGTTTGTAACTTTTTGCTGAACATATCATAATATTTGATATGAAGGTAGACTGTAGTCACAAGGATGAATTGTAGGCTTTACGATCAGTTAAGGCCACTGCATAATCTGTCTTTTTATACTCGTGTTAAACACTAAATAAAATATCTTCAAATTGACATATTTTATTACTTCCAGATTTTTATTACTCTTTTTTTTATTTAGTAGTTATAAATGCGATTATGTTTGTATGTCTGTCTGTCATTTTACAAATAAACTGCTGAATTTATCTTACTTAAAGACAATGCTAAGATAGACGATTGTATCATGTTGAAGGACATACATATGTAATAAGAATAGAAATAATCTTTTTCAAATAAACACTTTTGAATAGTTATATTTTTTTGACTCTATTACTCAATCGGAACGCAGAGTCATAACAAGAAGAACGAGCAAGAAACTAGCGTGTTGCTCTTTTTCATGCTATTTTGATCAGAAACAATCTGGACAAATAAACTTAATATAACCACGTTTAAATAGTCATATTTTTTTATTCAACCACTCTTTCGCAACGCAAACCCATAAAGAATTAGCAAGAAATTTGCGTGTTCCTGTTTTTTGTTGTATGACATTTTTATTCCAGAAATAATCTGAAAGAGGTTGAAACAGTGGATAAATAACTAGTTAAGTATATTGTTGAAACAATCGTAGCTTGTTATAATACAAAGTAAGGAGTTGCATACACAAATGTATCGATAGGTGTATGCCCCAGTTCGTACGCCAACTCATCTCGGATATGAACATATGTTTTATCTCCATTTTAACGGCGAAAATAGCGTCATTTTAATTTGCAATGTCGGTCCGAAACGTCATTAAATAAATGCAAAGTTACAGTTATAAGAAAAATGTTACACTAAACAAATGATGACAAATTATATAATGTATGTCACAATATGATTGCATTTAATCATTATTTTAGATATCTAGTAGTAATATGTGGTAATTTTATATAATAATATATATAAATAAATTAGTGAATTTTAATGAGTGTGAAGATATGATAAAAAAAACAAAATATATCTAAAAATTCGTTCATCGTCGTTCGTCCTATTACAGTTAACTAAGAACTAACAAAGGCTTTTTCCACAGAGTAATTTACACTAGGTACCTTTTCTAAGAGTTGGTACCGCTCTTATGTTTATTAAACCAAAATTGTATGTATAAAACAACCTGTATTGCTGCAAAACATTTTTTTTGTGTATGCAAACTATTATTTTATTATTATTCTAAAAAATAAACAGTAGAATAGAATAGAATAGAAAATCATTTATTCAAATAAACTTACATTGAAGCACTTTTGAATAGTCATTAGTTCAGTCTTTTTTTATTTGTTTTACGGACAAAAATTTGTAAATGAATCTATGAAAATAATAGGTTGTAAAGATGTCGTGCCGAAATACTATATGTTACACAGATTCATACAAAATTATTATTTTTTCGTTCTGACGTAAGACTGTGTGTCTGTCTGTGACTGTGTACTATATATCTAATAATAAAGTGTAGAAACAAATGCATTTCTTAAAAAAAAAATTATGAATGAGGTCATATGTCATACAGTCGCGTCAGGGTATCGAATTAAGTTGTGATAAAATTATATATGTATAATATATCAATTTCTTGTAGTTACTAAAAAGGTAATATATTAAAAAAAGATACCGCGGCCAAAGCACTAAACTTACTCTATTAGAAATTGGAAACGAATTCAAAAAGTATTTCTGGCAACGACGTTTACTTTAAGAAAATGGGTTTAATTTTGACAAATGATGACGCGATGAGCAATGTTGTGATATACAGATGTACACATCTGTTTGTACGACTTTGAGCATGGTTCGGTTTTGCAGCTTTAATTTCTTTTTAGGCAGCTTGTAATCTTTATTTTTAGGTTTTGAGTTTAGCTTTAATAGTACTTTAGTACTTACATACAAATAACTATAGGTTTTACAGCTGGTAATTTTATTTTTAGTTTAGCTTTAATAATTATTATATTACTTACATACAAATAAATATATACTTTTTAAAATAGTACATATAATACGTTGAGGTAGATAAAACAAAAAGAGAAAGAATTAAATTCCCGATTTTTCTGAAAGATACTGTTGTCTATCAGCCTTTTTTTATTTAAAATATTCCATAAACAATTAGAATAATTAATGAAAAAAATAAAATAATATGATAATTGGTCTGTACCTATTGACTTACACTTGATCGGCACGGACGCGGAGCGCATGCGCCGGGATGCGTTTTATGTGGTTACCCTCCAAGTCTCTGTATAAAAAAAATATGAAAGGTTTGTACTGAACCTAATAAAAAATGTTCAGTTTACGAATTTTTTGTATATTTTATTAATTTAAAACATTTTTTCTATAAGTTTCTATAACTGGCAATTATAATCAGAATTAATTGTAATATTATAAAGAAAAAATATTTGAGTTCCAAATTAGAAAAAATAGGATTAGGTATACAAGATCGAAATTTGAATTTGTTGTGTATGGGTATCTGTAGACATTTTTACGGGAAATAGTTGTTATTACTCTATATTATTATTACTCTAGACTACAGATTATATATTGATTCAAATGAAATCACAAGGAATTATTATATTTACTTTCTGCACTTATCTGAAGCATTTCATGTGTTACGATTCAAATATATAATGTATATTTAAAGTACGAATGTTTTTACCCTTTTCCTTTACTCGAAAAAAATTATTTCAGAGACTTATAATAAATAATTAAAGCTGTGTTTGTAACAAGATATTGGACTTACACAGCTTGAAGATAAGATAGAGAGTAGTTATTCCTATTCTTGTAATGCACTCGACTCAGGTTGGGCACTTCCAGAAGACCCGATGTTGTAATCATACTGTAATGATGCAATATCTGTATTAAAATAATAGTCCAACAACTTTACCGAGGTATAAAGTATATTATAAAGTAACTTTTTTTTTCATGTAAATTTTGCATTAAAAATATATCAAACTGATAGATATTCAGCAGCTCTGCTCAGGTTCGGTCTAGATGGCGCTGTGTGATTTGTCCAAGGATATTATTATTATAAAACAAACAGATCCCTTTTTATGTAACTGTAATAGCAAATTAACTGAAATCAAGCATCGCCAGTATACGTGAACATCAGGTAGTCACGTGATGCCAATAGGACCTCTTATGAGTTGCCATTTCGACGACTGACGTGCCATGGCTCCGTACCCTGTAATTTTACTACCATATTTCGTCCTTAACCCGAAATACCGTACAAAGTAAGGTGCTTGCAGTTGAAATAGGCGAGACAGAGGTACGATAAAAGATTCTACATGCGAGAATAAAGGATCCTGAGTAAAGAATAACTTGCTACCGAGTACTATCTATGTTAGAGCACTATCAGATCCTCGTATTTTATTTTGTTATTCCATTTTCAAATATTATTCTAGAATATTCCCGAATGTTTGAGCCACGCTTACCACAGCGGTGTCTTAAATGTAATTCATTAAGCTTGTTTGTACATATTTTTCTTGTCAAAATACTCCCGTTCCCTGTAATTTTACTACTAGTCATGTTTTATCGTTCAGCTGAAACATACCATATAAATTAATCTGCTTGCAGCTGAAATGAGTGAACCAGAGGTACGACAGAAGATTTTACATCCAAGAAACAAGGATTCGTAGTAAAGGATAACTTGCTACTACCGATATTAGAGCATTATTAGATCCTCTATCTATTTTATTTTGTTATTCCATTTTTAAATATTATTCTAGAATATTCCAGAATCTTTGAGCTATTCTTATCACGGCGGTGTTTTAAATGTGATTCATTAGGCTTGTTCGAAATTTAAATCCGTTTATATTAGTCATTTTTTCGATGATATGATAAATTCCATTTGTTTTTCTTGTCAAAATACCTGTTAATCCATTTCAGATTAACGTTACTCAACGATTTACGACATGTCAAAAGCGAGAAGCCGATATCCTAATATTGTAAAAGGTTGTAGGTATTGTCGGTATTGTAGGTAGGTAAAAAAAATCTGTTCAATACATCCAAATATTACCTATATTTGGATGTATTGAACAGATTTTTTTTTACCAATAGCACAGATAACATAATATTACATCCAATAGAAAGCCACGATATTCGTGAGTGTGATAGGATATCTAACGTCACGCTACGACCAATAGGTGTGCGAGTGATTTTTTAAGTATCTAGGACAGCTTCCAGAAATTTTATACTAAAAGAATAAATAAAAAATATGTCTTCTCTATGTTGTGTTCTAATTTATATTATTCTGTATCCTATTGCGCATTAATTCATTTCAAAAATAAAATATTAATTTTGAAGGCCTGTTAGTAAATACGACATCACTGCGGCTTTTAACCCATTTAACCAAGGATTGTGGCTGCCGAAGTTGATACCGAGACAAAAGGGGCTCACCCTGAAGCCCTAACATTCGCCCCTGTAGACAGGTGAGGATGCCCAGAGTCAGTCAGTAAAAAGAAAACAAATACATACGTACAATGTGCGTAGTTCCGGCATTGGCGGCAATGCATTTAATCGACGTAGCAGAGGTGCTTGAGTTATGAATCTGTGGACAATATAATAAATTATTTATCTTAACATAATACAACGAAAACTTATTTCCGATGGTCGCTGGTTTGACTCCTCGCACAAATATTTGTATCTGTGAGTATTTTATTCATATCAATTGGCCCAGTGTGGAGTGCCCCGCGGCGCCCAAGCGCCTGGTCGGTTAGTGTAGTTAGGGTCATCGTCTTCGCCAGCGAGCACGGTGTCGTGTGTTTGTGTAATATCGTAGTAGGAACGGATAGGATGGACCCATAGGGAAATTAGCCGCAGTTATAGGGTCGTCGAGATTTGTTTCGCGCATGGACAATTATATATCGCGTTCCTGATTTGGCAAACTGTCAAGTTTGTATATTTAGACACCGCAAAAAAAAATTGTATTATAATATCAAAAAGCAGTAAATTATTGAACTTTAACACATTTTATAATTCTAAGGAGAAACGGAGTTCACCTGTCAGGTATGAAGCAATAAAAATAGTTCAGTATAAGATTTACAGTATAGTTTATTAGTTACAATTTGTTGCCAACACAATCACCAAACACTGTATGATGCTGTAAGTATTATTCCAGCGGTGCTACTATTCTTTGGAAGCCATGTATGGCATCACGACAAATAAATTAATTTAGTTGCGAGCTCGACCCGATTAAATGTTATATATGCAAGTGCAGTGATGTCGTAGATACAATGATAAGTAACCACGGTGGTGTAGCAGTTTAACACACCGCCTTATTTCCGATGGTCCTGGATTCGATTCTTTTCACGGCTCGAACATTTGTATTCTATAATATATTTATTGTATGCTTGTTTGTATCAGTCTGGGGGTTTTCTATGTAGGTATTTACAAAAAAAATGTGATTATGTATTTTTATCAGTTGTCTAGTACCCATAACAAAAGCCCTGCTTAGCTTGGGACTAATTGGCGCTGTGTGATTTGTCAGAAGATATTGCTATTATTATTATTTTCACGATTGTCATTTTCTTATCTTCCGCTGGTCTTCTATTATTATTATTATTAGGTACTTACAATGATTTCAGTCTGGGCATTTTAGATAAATCTTCAACGGCCACATGTTCTAATTTTGGTGCATCAATAACTGACCTGAAATTAAAAGGATAATTAAATCAATGTACCTAAAAAATAAATGTCAATCTACCTACCTTACTTTTTTTATTTGCATATTGATCTGCTCTGACAATTGTGACTGGTTTATTTTGTCACTCGATGTGCTCGCGGATACACCCTCATTAAGTTTATAGTCAATGTGTTATTCTGATGTATAAGCTACATTTTTGAAAGAGTTACATATATCTATACATCTTAACATTCTCAATTCTGCCACATGTCTTCTTTTATTGCGTAACCAAACTTCAAAAGCCTTTGACATATTTGATTTTGCGGAAGGGAGTTCGCGAGGTCAGCTAGTGGGAAATAAAAGATCAGAGGTAAACTTACAAATGCTCTATGGAGTGTAGATGGTACCCGGCCTGGTGGATTGTCTTGGCCGTCAGCCAGGTGATGTTAGTTTGTATCAGCTCCACTGATATATCGTCGCTCATCTCCACATTATTCTGAGCTGATCGCCTCACTGGAAGTTCGAAATATTAATAAATTAGGGCAACTAGCAATAACATGTATATCATGAAAATAAACACAAATAAAGAATTTGAATTTTAAATTATTTCAAATTTATTATATACATTAATTTATTAATTAAATTAGAGTTTTAATAAATAGATAATATATGTTTATTCCGAATTATATATTTCATAATTATAAATATATATTAATTCGAATATATATTTATTTATTTATTAAAGTTTTAATCTATAAATACACAAATGAAGGTGCATATGGAGGACTTAATACCTTAAGGCAAAAGGTGGTTACCTATTTTAATTTCCATGTAACAAGTTCATCAGGGGTAAGGGGATTGTTAGTAATGTGGACTCATGACCCTATTGCTCGCAATGTAACATGTCAGGTTGACCTCCACGCGGTTCCGCCTGGAAACTATCGTGATAAATTCCTGGTGAATTTGTCACGATGGGCTAACTGACCTGACCTCATGCTCATCTCATCATCCTCCACTGGTGGTCCGCCAGCGTAAACCTTTGGCGCAAGCGGACGCTCCATTCCGTTAACATCCATAAAAAAAAACAAGTTGATCATATTGCAGACAAATATTGCAGCAATTTGAGAAATTCTATCAGTTTATGTACATTTCGGAGCGAAATATTAAGTTACATATTATACAAAAATCAAAATTACCAATGGGGCTCGGTATATGTATAATGTCTTTCCCTATTACTACTGATTAATTGCTTTTTATTTTTACCCTAAGGAAGGCTAAGGTGTTATAGAGTCACGTGGGGTAAGTGTGCGCAGCGGGTAAGTGTACGCACTCGAAGTATTTCAAAAACGGTTTATAGGTACGAACTGATAACACCCCTCCTCATTAGCGCACAAAAGGCTATACTTAGTGCAACTTTTTCACTGTCCGCCGGTGAACCATTTTGTTTCCGTAAGTGAGTATTGTTTTTTGCTTGAAATATTGCGATTTTTGTCTTAAATGAGAGACTCATTCCTTTGTAATATATTTATATTTTGAAATCATGCTTTATACCATCGAACAGTACATTTTATGTAATATAAGCCGTGTTTAATCTTTTGGTGATGACGATTACGTAATATTGCTCAGTTCTGGTTAAATTTTATTTTGATGGTTTGGGGTAAGTGTGCGCATACGCATGTCGGGTAAGTGTGCGCATGCGAATACTTACCCCGCTCCGCTTTGGCTTTGTATTTATGATGCAATTTGTTTTATTAATTTCGGAGGTTGGTAGCAAACGACAGTGTGGCACCCGCAATAATGAGTGTACCTTCGTCTAGGAATGAATATGTACGACTGTCATCCATCCAAGAAATACCGAAGTTGGCCTTAGGCATTTCTTGGATGAATGACTGTGATTCAAAATCGGCGAAAGAAAGGCAAAAAGTCAATCATTGATACTGTAAGTCCTTATAAAGTAGAATTGGAAAAACAAAAAACAAGAGGAAGAATAAATTGCAAAAAAAGAAGATACGACTTGATCTGAAAATAAATAAAATGATGAGCAGGAATTATTTTGCCCACTGTGTGGAGAAAAATACATATTTCCACCGAATGAAGACTGGATCCAATACAGCATCTGTAAGAGCTGGTGGCATGAACAATGCAATAACTTTGAAAAGGAATTATTTGAACTGATATATTATTAGGTTGAGGATGTCTATTTTCTGGTTTATCATATGAGTCTGACTCTATTTACTGTATGTTACATGTTGCGTACACTTACCCGCACTACTGCGCACACTTACCCCTATACTTGGGTAAGTGTGCGCATTTAAACAGTTTTGATTTTGTTGATTTCCAAAGAATTTGTGTAAATGATAATTATTTACTTTGCGTTTAAGTTGTTGATTATTAAATATTTTATATAATAAACCTTGTTTTGTTCCAGTTAACTTCAAATATTTTATTATATGATACTTCAAACCTTAAGTGCGCACACTTGCCCCACGTGACTCTATACCCTAATACTTAATTTCAGTGTCATATATATATTTGCGTGCTCAAAATGTACCAAAATATGGACCTGTGTATTTTTAAGAACTTCTGTAACCTATTCAAAGCAAATAAATAAAATGCAAGCCGTCCACGTCAGGTAGATATAGCGAGACACACAAACGACTTTGTACAAAGTCACTTTCGTGAATCCTTTGGAATAATTTGGACTATCAGAACTGAGGTATGATCGTGCCGTTATTGCGGCATACACACGTTCTTATTGCTTTATTAACTGCGTCCTATTTGTTATGTCAACACACGTTGATGATATAAATAAATCTTTAATCTATTTATTTATAAATTAACATGAATAATATGAACTGCACGTGATATTTAATGTAAACAGAACGAGAGAGTGTAGTGTAGTGTCGAGATTGGTACAGAAAACATGATTATTAATTATCAAGTTATCCTGGTCGCAGTTATGTAATAAAATAGTACTTAGTATTCAATCTTAATCTTAATAATATTATAAACGCGAAACTTTGTGAGTATGTTTGTTACTCTTTCACGCAAAAGCTACTGAACGTATTTGGATGAAACTTTACAGTAATATACCTTATGCATCAAAATGACATGTAGCTATATTTTTTATTCTAATTTAACGCGGGTGAAACCGAAACAACTAGTATTGCTATAAAATGAAAATTCATCATATTAAAAATGAACATCCAAAACAGACGTTCGATATTATTTTGTTTCTTTGTTAAAATTATACAATTTCTATTATCTACCACGGCGTCATAAATAAATGTATCAATTATACACAAACTTTCGTTTTTTTATTATAAGTACAACAAGTAATGTTCCTACACCTTACGTTGTTGCCTTTTTATTGCCTTCTACACATTTTTACCGTGACTTCCTATCATAATTGAGACGAAATGCACGCATAAGTTGAGTTATGCCAGTGGTTACAGCAAAGATATGAATTGATAAAAGGTCTGTCTTATATTTAATCTGCTGATTGATATAAAAGATTCTCGATTATAGGCTTTAAGAAAACATAATATTAATAGGTACAATGGATATCTGCGCAGAATTATGTGTATGACAGGGCAGTATTGAGTGTTTACAGTAGATTGCACTTGACTTACAACGTATTATTGTATCTTATCTATTTAATAATGTGCATCAATGTGAGTATTAAATGAAGTACAGTGATAATGATGGGTTAAAGTAAATGAATCTGCGTATTCAATATAACAAAGCCTCACTAATTATTAACCACACATTAATTTTAGTGACTTTCTAAAAAAAACTAATTATATTTAAAAATATATTGAACAGGTAGTGAACTGGTGAGAACGGTTAATAAATATTAACCACAGTATTCATTTTACATTCAGGGGCCCCCCTGAATGTAAAATGAATAGTGTGGTTACCCTATAAAAAAATGTGTTTAAAATATGTTAAACATGTCCTGAACAGGTGAGAACTGTTAGCCTACTAGCGCATCCAATACGGGTTTAATAGTAAAGAGTACATCCAGTCAATAGTTAAATAGAATATTTACCCACTTTTGAAACTGAATTAATTTCACTAAGAAACAAATTGAAAAGCAGAAATTAATTTTTAAACCTTCATACAAATTTTGCAATCACCATGCTACCTGAGTTCATGCTCCGTCCTAGCGTTCCCCACTGATACCCTGCGAGTATAGTAGGCGCCTAAGAGTGTATCATTCGGTATTAATCCATAAAAAAAAACCTACCAATATTTTTTATAGAGATAAATGGCGACAGAATTCATAGTATGTGATAAAAAACTCACTCTATAAAAATAGTAGCTGAGCCGGCAATCGTTGTTTTGCCATTTGCCATTATAGAATGATGGTATATGGTAGAAGTGTGCAGAGTGAAAATTTATCGTTGTATGTATTTTTTTAGCCGAATTATAAAATAAATAATAATAAAATTTTAACAAAAATAAAAAAAAAATTGAGTCTGACTTAGAGCCTATGAAAAATTTCTAAAATTTCTAACGTCCTCAGATCTGAATGTTCCTACAAAGCTTCATAAGATTCGGTCAAGATGATCGCCTCAAGTGAGTTTTGTCACAAACACCATGACAGAGAATTTTATATATTAGACAACAATATTATCACAAAATCGCGTACGTACCACGTAGTTCTTATTATTCATAGATTACGATGATGTTGATTGATCGGTCGAGAGACCAACGTTTGTATAAAGACGGCCCAAGTCGCCGTAAAGGGCGCATTAGAATCTTAGAATTATTATATTTTTAGACATAAACACTCGAATTTAAACACTCGAATCAGATATATATCTAGATTTAAAACAATACAAGTGGAATGTTTGTATATCATATCGATTCTTATTTTTATATGACTGCTAAATAAACGAGTTTCAGATCTTTGACGCAACATATTAGATAAACAGATTTGGATATATGAACAAGAAATAAATGCTAATACAATATTTAATTTAATATATAACGCAATACATAGATATAAACTTCAATTTATACAATACTAGATCTGCCTGCGGTTATATCCGCATGAAATTGATTTCGGTTATTATGTATTTAATTATTATATATATAAACCTTCCTCTTGAATCACTCTAAAAACTGCATTAAAGTCCGTTGCGTACTTTAAAAGATAATCAAACAGATAAGCAAACAGACAGCGGATATAATAAAGAGGGAAAATTTGATTGTTTGTATTAAATAAGATCCGAAAGTACTGAATCGAAATGAAAAATTACTTTTCTCTCTTCATTATTCCTCATGAACATAGAATACTTTCAAAAACATTAGGGATCCGTATGTAACTTCTATAATGTAAACGAACGTATGAAAAAACTACCAAAATAATTGTGGAATATGGAAATTATTGACAATAGAGAAAGATTTTAATTCGACCGTATCTCTTTGTACTATTTCGTTTAAGTTGAAAAATCGTATTTATATTTATCGGTAATAATTCACGATTCACATTTAGAATTAGGAGA